GGTTTGCAAGAATCTGGGAGCTTGTGTGTTTTTTTCTGCATTTTTATGATTTTCTGTGACCATTGGGCCATGTTGTTGTTTTTGAAAAAATTTTCTGGGTTTTGAATTTCTGTGTGCTGGGTGGATGGGGGAACAGCTGGGGAGGGGTTTGCAAGAATCTGGGAGCTTGTGTGTTTTTTTCTGCATTTTTATGATTTTCTGTGACCATTGGGCCATGTTGGTCTTTTTTGAAAAAAATTTCTGGGTTTTGAATTTCTGTGTGCTGGGTGGATGGGGGAACAGCTGGGGAGGGGTTTGCAAGAATCTGGGAGCTTGTGTGTTTTTTTCTGCATTTTTATGATTTTCTGTGACCATTGGGCCATGTTGTTGTTTTTTTGAAAAAAAATCTGGGTTTTGAATTTCTGTGTGCTGGGTGGCTGGGGGAACAGTTGAGGAGGGGTTTGCAACAGTTGGGGAGGGGTTTGCAACAGTTGGGGATGGGTTTGCAACAGTTGGGGAGGGGCTGGGGGAACAGTTGAGGTTTTTGAAGAATTTGGTCATTTTTAAAGCTTTCACAAATCTTCATTTGCAGCCATTTGAGGATTTTGAAGACTTTGGTGATTTGCAGCCATTTCGTAAGTTAAACTTCTAAAACTTTTTTGGGGGTTTTTGGATTTTGGGTTGGGTGTTTGGAATTCAAGGACTTGGTTCTGGGTTTGAATTGCTGATTTATTTTTTTCTTTTTCTGAGTTTACGAAGGTAACAGCTGTGCTGCCATGGGACCCAAGAAGACGGCTGCTGCTGCGGAGGCCGGCGAGAGGAAGAAGGAGAAGGTGACGCTGGAAATGAAGAAGGAGATCATCCGGAAGCACGACGGTGGAATGCGTGTGACGGACCTCGCCAGGGAGTACGGCAGGAACCCATCGACCATCGGGACCATCCTGAAGATGAGAGAGAAGATCCTTGCGACTGATGCAGCCAAGGGAGTCACCAGGATCGTGAAGAACCGCCCAGCTGTTCTGGAGGAGGTCGAGAAGTTGCTGCTCATCTGGTTAGAAGAGAAGCAGCGTGCAGAGGACACAGTGACTGAGGCCGTCATTTGTGAGAAGGCCAAGGCCTTGCACGCAGACCTCATCCGGGAACAGCCAGGAACCTCGGCCGAGCCAGAAGTCTTCAAGGCAAGCAGAGGCTGGTTTGACCAGATCTGGAATCCACAGCGTGGTCAGGCATGGAGAGGCTGCCAGTTCTGATGTTCCTGCGGCTGAAGACTTTGCCTTGGAGTTCCTGGAGGTTGTGAAGACGGAGGGCTACGTTCCACAGCAGGTCTTCAACTGCGACGAGACCGGGCTGTTTTGGAAGAGGATGCCCAAAAGGACTTTCCTCACACAGGAGGAGGCCAAGTTGCCTGGCCACAAGCCCATGAAGGACCGTCTGACCCTGCTCTTCTGTGCCAACGCAAGCGGCGACCTGAAGATCAAGCCCCTGCTGGTGTACCACTCGGAGAACCCACGGGCCTTCAAGAAACACAAGGTCGACAAGGAGCGGCTGAGTGTCATGTGGCGATCCAACAGCAAGGCTTGGGTCACACGTGTGCTGTTTGTGGACTGGGTCAATCTTGCTTTTGGCCCTGCTGTCAAACAGTACCTGCTGGACAACGACCTGCCGCTGAAGGCTTTGCTTCTGATGGACAATGCTCCTGCTCATCCTAAAGGCCTTGAGGTGGACTTGTTGGAGGAGTTCAGCTTCATCAACATCATGTTCCTGCCGCCTAACACCACGCCACTGCTCCAGCCGATGGATCAGCAGGTCATCGCCAATTTCAAGAAACTCTACACCAAGGAGCTTTTCAGGCGATGCTTCGAGGTGACTGATTGCACCACCATCACCCTGCGGGAATTCTGGAAGGACCACTTCGACATCGTCACCTGCTTGAAGATGATCACCACGGCCTGGAACGGGATCAGCCAGAGAAATTTGAATTGCGCTTGGCGCAGCCTGTGGCCGGACTGTGTGGCACCAAGTGACTCTGATGCACCAGAGTCAACAGTGGTGCAGGACATTGTTGCCTTGGGGAGGACCATGGGCCTGGAGGTCACAGAGGAGGACGTCTGCGAGCTGGTGGAGGAGCACGACCACGAGCTGACCACCCAGGAGCTGGTTGAACTGCAGTCAGAGGTTGCGCAGGAGCAGGCCTCGCTGGAAGAGGAGGAAGCAACTGAGGAACGGCCGTCCTCCAAAGAACTGAGGGACATTTGCCAGAAGTGGAAGGTGGTGCAGGCTTTGCAGAGCGGCACCACCCTATCAAGCACGTGGCACATGACCAAGCGAACACTTTTGATACGACGGTCATGTTGCCTCTCAGGGAGCTGCTGAAAAGGCGGATGAAGCAGCAGACCATGGACAGGTTCCTCAGCAAGAAGCAAGAGTGGAAGAGGAACCTTCTTCGAGTGGTCCCCCAGAGTCTTAGAAAATGTAATGTACCCGTTTTTTGATTTTTAAATGTTTTTCGGGTCATGTTTAGAAACTTAATTTCTTGGTCCTTCATGTTTTGATATGCTCTTTAAAGGATGTGTGAGTTTCCAGAGCAGTTAATAGGCTATTGTGGTACCAAAGTTGGCGTTGATTGGACTTTTTTTGACCATAGGAACGCATTAATTGAATTTCAATGCATTCCTATGGGAAATCGTGCTTCGCAAGACGAAAAATTCGCTAGACGAAAAAATCGCGGAACGAATTAATTTCGTCTTGCGAGGCACCACTGTATGTGCCCCGTTTCAATGGATTTTTGCTTGTGGAAACAAGCAGCATCTCAGCTTGAAGAAAGAAACCCCAGAGATTGTGAAGATTACTAACGTGTATATGTACCTAAGTGAACTCCAGGCTGGAAACAGAAATCGGCTGGTCACTTACTGCCTCAAGGCCTTCCCACATTTTTTCTGCCCCTGCAACTCTGTAGAAGATTTTGCAGTCAAAACAACTAGTAAACACAATGCGTTTCTCAAAACACTGTATCTAACATGATAAAGGCCACAGGCCTCAGAAGTAGCAGGCGTAGCAGTGGAAGCTTCCACTCCTGGATCCTGCAAGGATTCCTCTGCTTGAGGCAACCGCCTCTGCAGAATGGTAGTACCAGTGATGCTTGGGCCTGATGGGAATTGTAGTCCAACAATGTCCGGCATACACTAAGCTAGGGGAGAAGACTGGAATAGACATTACTGGGATAGATTAGGCATTAATAAACTTTTTAGGGCCAAGGACTATATTGAACCACCATCCAACCTACAGGGGAAAGGTCAGCTGCACATCAGAATGGGTGTGGCCACAGTGCAAAAGTGTGCAGGGCAAGAAGTGCAGTCCTTAAGACTGCCTTGCTAGTCAGCTAACTATTCAGTAATGTTTGTCATTGTAATGGGGGGCGGGGTTCAAAAGGGAGGCAATTTTGCCCCACCACACAACCATTGTGCTTATTTATTCATTTTGTTTATTAGATTTGTATACAGCCCTTCATTTGTAGATCTCAGGGTCATATACAACATAAAATTCCAATATAGAAAACGCAGAATACATAATAAAAATAAGAACAAAAGCAAACCATTAACACAGGGGGCCCCCTTCCCCAATTCATTTAAAAGGCCATTGGATGTCAATCAGCCAAAGGCCTGATTGATGAGGAGTGTTTTCACCTGGCACCTAAAGCTGTATAATGAAGACGCCAGGTGAACCTCCCAGGGGAGAACATTCTACGAACGGGGAACCACTGCTGAAAACATCCATTCTCTTGTTGCCACCCTCTGGACTTCTCATGGAGGAGGCACAGGAAGAAGGACCTCAGATGATGATTGCAGAGGCTGGGTCAGGTTATATGGAGAGAGGCAGTCCTTGAGGTATTGTGGTCCTGAGCTGTTTAAGGCTTTATAGGTCAAAACCAGCTCTTTGAATTGGGCCCAGAAACTAATTGGAAGCCAGCGCAGTTGGGCCAGCATCGGTGCATGCACTGCCCAACAATTAGCAACCAGCAGAAATTTCACCCCAAATTATTTAAGCAATTAGGACAATACTTGTCCTAATTGTTTTGTTGAAACTTGTATTGTACAAAAACTGCTCCTTTAAATTTGACTTTTAGTGGATTTTATCCATTTTTATTTTCTTAAGTTGCTTTGATACATTTATTTTTCCTATAATGCAGGTATGTGAAACTTTGGGTCTTTGGTTGCTGCTGAACTTCAACTCTCATGAGCCCCAGCAAGCATACATTGCCACTTGCCTATTCTGCCCCTTTGGGATTGGTATACAGAAGCCATCAGTACAGTTCAAAAGTTTTAAAAGGCCTTGAGGGTATCATGTGGTATACACCTCCCATAGTAATGTTGCAAACCTGCCCCTGGCTTGTGCAATAAAGATTGCACCTCAAAAAGGAGCTGCCACTTTAGAATTAAGGTGGCCCAGAGTACCTTCCCTTTGCACCCAAGAGTTTCATAGGGCACCTCAACAAAAACTCACTACAGTACTGTATTGTATTCCCCAGCAGCATCTAAGGAGTTTGCTTGGAGGACAACCTCTATGGCTCTTGTTTTCTGGTCTCTTTATAGATGGCTACAATGACAGCAAGAGCTAGCTCTTCACATCAAGGGATCATGCAAGGCCTCTGGCAGCAATTCCTTTGCCTCCTCACCTCAGGGTTGGGCAAAATCATCCCATACACGCTACTTCCTTTTAGACATTGGGCCTTCTAGAGTTGGAGAAGTCCTTTCAAGTGTCATTTTGAAGGAGAAGGTTTCATTTTTAGGACAAAACACCAGACACACATCTTTTAAGCATGAATTTATAGGAGTGATTTATTTCATAATTATATTAAATATTTCATATAGTGATTTATTTCATATTTATATTATATATTTCATATAGTGATTTATTTCATATTTATATTATATATTAATTTCATATAGCAATTCATAATGATCCAGCATGACATGCAAAAAAATATTCTTAAAGGCAGATCTGTTTCCCCCGCCCTCCATACATCATTCTTTTAGTAATGACTCCAGTTCCAGGTTGGCTTCAGAAGCAGCTTCAGGAACAATTCTGTGTCCCAAAAAGCAGGTCTCAGCCTCGGCATCTGCAGTATTATGGATCTGAGCAACCGAGATGGGCGGGGGGTAATCCACATCTTCTCGAGGGCGCCAATCACTGTTGTTGGACTCCTGATCATCATCATCATATGGTGGCATAACCGTAAAGAAAGATGGAGGGACATCAAGCGTATCAAGTGGATCAATATTTTCCTCTTCGACCCGATTGTAGTAGTCACTGATTGCTCTTGCAAGACTGCGATTTCTCCTCCGACGCCAAATCTCTCTGTAACCCTTGGTACAACAGCGGTACAAGCCAAATAATAATACGGCACCGCATATCATTGCGAAAAGGAAAACCATGATCCGACCTGGAAACAGAAGAAGGCTCCAGTCACCACTTGTTAAAGACGACCCATCTCTCTCTCTTCCTTTAAGCAATGATACGTAAGCAAAAGAGCAGCCCGGCCAGATCAGACTAAAGGGCTGTCCAGCCCAGGTTCCTATTCTCACATTGGCCAGCCAGTTGCTCATGGGAAGACCCAAGTACAGCAGCAGTCTCCCCTTTGTGATTCCCAACAGTGTGCATTCAGAGGCATTCTGGCTCCATTATGGCTGTTAGCAATGGATGGCCTTGTCCCCCATGAACTTGTCTAATCCTCTTTCAAACCACCCAAGCTGATGACCATCACTTCTTGCTGGCATGAATGCCATAGTTTAAGTACGCAGTGTGCAAAGCACTTTCTTTAATTAGCCCTGGGTTTTCTAGCATTCTAGGATGGGCTCAGGTTGTAGCATCACGAGGGATAAAACCTTACTGCTATTTGCGTCCTCTACACCAGGCATGGCCAGCAGGTAGATCGTGATCCACTGGTAGATCACTGGGACATCTGTGGTAGATCACAGAAGATCACTTTGGCTTCCCTAAATAAAAGCTCAACAACTTTGCCCTGCACCCCTAAAAAGCTTGGCCTTCCTCCTCCTCCATAAAATTCAAAAATTTTGACCTGAACCCCCCAAAGGGGGTAGATCACTGCCAGTTGTTAACTCTGTGAGTAGATCACAGTCTCTTGGGAGTTGGCCACCCTTGCTCTACACCATTGACAATTTTATACATGGAATCATAGAACTGTAAAGTTGGAAGGGAACCCCAGAGGTCATCCAGTCCAACCCCCTGCAATTCAAGAATTGTAGTCAAAGGATCTCTAAAAGCTGGCCATCCAACCTCTGTCCAAAAATCTCCAAGGGAAGAGAATCCACCACCTTCCAAGGTACTCCATTGGTTTTTGTTTTTTTCTAAACTGAAAAGCCCCTAATATAACTTTTCCCAAAAGGGAGATGTTCTTATCCCTTAACCACACGCATTGCCTCATTCTAGCACTACAATAACACTAAAGAGGTGAGGTGGCCAAAACTGTACATGACATTCCAAGTATAGTCTGACCATCATGGGCACCATCGGGGGGGCAAGGGACCCCCAAATTACAAGGAGGGGGCTAGGCCCCCTCAAAATTCTGTGGCAATGTATGCACACAGTGCCATCGGGGGGGCCAAGGGACCCCCAAATTACAAGGAGGGGGTAGGCCCCCTCAAAATTCTGTGGCAATGTATGCATACAGTGCCATTTGGGGGGGCAAGGGCACCCCAAAATTACCAAGGAGGGGGATGGGCCCCCTCAAAATTCTGTGGCGACATATGCACACAGTGCCGTCTGGGGGGGCAAGGGCACCCCAAAATTAACAAGGAGGGGGATGAGCCCCCACAAAATTCTGTGGCGACATATGCACACAGTGCCGTTTGGGGGGGCAAGGGCACCCCAAAATTACCAAGGAGGGGGATGAGCCCCCACAAAATTCTGTGGCGACATATGCACACAGTGCCGTTTGGGGGGGCAAGGGCACCCCAAAATTACCAAGGAGGGGATGAGCCCCCACAAAATTCTGTGGCGACATATGCACACAGTGCCGTCTGGGGGGGCAAGGGCACCCCAAAATTAACAAGGAGGGGGATGAGCCCCCACAAAATTCTGTGGCGACATATGCACACAGTGCCGTTTGGGGGGGCAAGGGCACCCCAAAATTACCAAGGAGGGGGATGGGCCTCCTCAAAATTCTGTGGTGACGTATGCACACAGTGGCGGCCAAGGGCATCCCCAAATTACCAAGGAGGGTATTTTGATGGAGCCACGGAATTTTGATGAGGCCCAGCCCCCTCAATAATTTGGGTGTCCCTTGCCCCCCCAATGGTGCCCGTGATAGGGTAGACTTAGAATGTTTTAGCCACCTTACCTCCTAAATGTTATTGTATGAGTGCAGCACATCAGCATGTTGCACAGTGTGCGTGCATGACATGAGCATGGCATGTGTGCAGAGTTTGCACATGTCACATGGCATGCACACATGAATTGAGCATTTGACATGGCATGTGTGGATGTTGTCTGCATGTTGTACTGTGTGCGCGCCCAACATGCACACATCACATGGCATGTGCACAAGGCACGAGCATGTTGTGAGGCATGTGACGTGTTGGGAGGAATATGTGACTTGGCATGCACACAGAGTGTGCGTAAAGTACCCAGCATTTGTGCATGACGTGATTGGGTTGAGTGTGCTACGCCCCCCCCCCCCAAAACAACAACAACATGGCAGTCATATTTTCAATCCCCTTCCTAGTGATTCCCAACAAAGTATTAACCTTTTTCCATAAATGCATTGCACTGGGTTAAATTCTAGAATGCATCATTTTACACTTGCTTACAGTAAATCACATTTTATTACCCATTTACCCTGTTTGGAGAGATCTTTTTAGAGCTCTTCCACATTCTTTTTTGTTTTAAGCACCTTGTCTCTTAACCGGTTACAGATCCATAACACATAGAAAGCTGCCTCATAGTCAGACCATTGGGTCCATCAAGCTCAGCAGTGACTACACTGACTGGCAGCAGCTCTCCAGGGCTTTAAGCAGTTTTCTCTCCAAGTCTTTCCTGGAAATGAAAGGGTTTGAATATGGGACCTTCTGTCTGCAAAGCAGATGCTTGCTCCTTTACTCTGTGGGCTCTTTTCCCATTGAGCTAGGGCCTATGGGCATAGCTGGGAGGGCAGGGGGGCAGCTTCCACCCCAAACCAACAAAAACCAATAAAAAAATGAGGTCCTGCCCCTCCCAAGCCTGCTCTCCCCCCCCCAACAAAAATCCTAGCTACACTCATGCTAGGGCCTCTCCTCTCTTCACAGCAAGCGTATCCCAAATATTCTAGAATCTGCTTATTTGGTCAAGGTACTCTCAAAAACATCATTAAAGTAGTGTTACTTACCCACTGTAGCTTCTTGATTAAGAGGCCGGATGGTGTATGAAATCATGGTGATCACTTCATAAGGAGCAGCTTGGCGGCACTGCTGCTGGTCTAGTTGGGCTTTTGCAGCGGAGCAACAGTAGGGTGTGGCGCAAGTCCCACAGCAGAACTTCATATCCTCAGGACAGTAGAACGATTTAACTGGCGAAGCTATCCCTTGTGTCCAGGCATGGCACATTGCATCATTGATCTTCGTGGAGACACCCCCTACAACCAACAGCAGAAGCAGGAGGTGTAACACAGCCATGGTCACGGTACACTCTTCTCCAGGCAAGAGAGTCCACTGCAGTAACGCCTCTTTTTCAAATGTTGTTCTTTTACAGCCAAGATTGCCCCAGAAGCAGCCTTTATATCTCTAGAGCACTTCCCTTGATGAGGGACAACTCATTGCAGCTGGCCTGGTTCTGATCCCAGCCCTTGACCACACCTCCTTCCTCTACTGAGAAGGAACCAAAATAGCTCCGCCTGCGAATAGTGTATCACCACACTCTATGGTGTTGATGAATATTCTAGAATAAGCATAATCACTCCATCTACTTTCTTTGGAAGTAAGGTCCTGAGTTCTCCAAGACTTACACATTTGCAGTACATCCTGTAATGTCTATCCAAGAGTAAGTCATTGAGTTCCATGGGGCTTACTCTCATGTAATCAGCTATAGGATTGCAGCCTTAGTAGTGAGTCTGCATGTGCAATGGAGACTCCTTTCTAGATGCAATGGAGATTTCACCTAATGAAGTGTGCACAGGTATGGATGAAGTGAGAATGAACTTACAATTTTAGGTGGGAGAGTTATGTCATAGAAGGAAGGGCCCTAGCTTAGTGGTAGTGCACCTGCATTGCATGAAGAAGGTATCATGCTCAGTGCCTGGAATCTCCAGGTAGGGAAACACTCCTGTCTAAAACCCTGGAGAGCCATTGCCAGTAAGTGTAGACATTACAAAATAAATTAGTTCACAGTTGTTGATGGTGGTTCTAGACAAAGGCAAAAGCCCTCTCCTGTTGCTAGCCACAGATTTTCTGGGCTGAATGGCCTCTAGATGGCCACATAGCAATCAACTGACATTTACATTTCCTTCTCCAAGTTGAGGTGCAGTCTATCAGTGAATATTCTGAAGGAGACAAACATCAGAAAAGCATTATTGACCCCAAACACTGTTTGTGGGCTTCATTGTGCATATGGTTGCCATAGTGAGGAGCAGGATGCTGGATAAATGGATCTTTGGCATGATCCAGCACAGCTGCTTTTATTTTCAAAAAAATCCCCACCCACCCCTTTTGCAGAAAATACTGCTCCTAACTTTGTTACTTGAGTTCATTTTTATTTTAAACTTTTGTTAACCTGTGAGCACAACTCTGTGATTCAAGACCCTTTAGCAAGCCCCACTTTTCCAGAGCATGAAGAATTTAATCCTGCATATTGTACAACGGAGAGAGAAATGAAACAGTTTACCCCTCTGTCCAGCAAGCAGGAAAAGGTTTCCAGATTTGATCACAAGGTTCAATAATGAGATGAGACAGTTATAATATGAGTCTCTCTTTGAGGGAGAATTTCAAAATACGTTATCAGGGAGGTGGGAGAGAAGAGTAATCACTGTTCTAATTTCAACTCTGCAGATGATCATAGTGCCTGGAGACAGGCAAGCCAGGTCCTGTATCCACAGCAGTGACCAGAGGAGAAATGACCACTGGGAAGAGCAGAGAGAATATACGCTCTCTGGGAAATACACAGCAGCAAAACCGGATGCCTTCACCTACCCCAGCTGCAATAACACATGTCTCTCCTATATTGGTCTCTGCAGCCACAGAAGGCACTGGAAGTCTCCAATAGTTTGACTTTACCTCCAAAGGTTAACTCTACTATTGTCTCCCAAGACAGACAGCTGAGTTTCATTAACTACGTGTGAAATTTGAGGTCCCCTCCAGACAGTGCCAAAGTTTTGCAATCATTTTGCAGCCTTTGGCAGTGCAGCCACACATTTTGCAGCACCCCACAAATTGCATAAATGATACTCAGTGAACTGGGGTTCATAGGTATCGCCCCCAAAACCCAAAATTGTACAATTCATTCTAAACTAGTACCAAAGTTTTGCAATAATTTTGCAACAATTTGCAGCATGAATCCTGCATTTTGCAACGCCCCTCAAACTGAGAAATAGATACATCAAGCCAGGGGTGCATGCTGCAAAACAGTTGCAAACCCTTACCACTGGTTTGGAGTATCATTTGGCATTGGTTTGGAATCAGACGATGTTGGGATTTTAGGTGATACTCCTGACCTGAGTATCAGTTACTTAGTTTGAGGAGGGCACTGTATACTGCAGGCTTTGTGTTGCAAAAAAAATTGCAAAACTTTGGCACTGGTTTGGAGAGAATCCCAAACTTTGGGGTTCATAGCTAATGAAGCTCCCCTGTGTTTCCATTCTCCCTTCCACTTCATCGGCTCTCATTATCTCTCTCTCACACACCCCACCCCCAAATTTGTCATCCCTACAACTGTCAGCCTCAGTAAACACCCTCCATCTACTCTGGCTCCAACATTCTTCTGCTCACTTTTCTCTTCCACCCTGATGCTCAGGATACCCCTAGAGGCATCTTCATCCTGATGCATCAAAGATTGCTTTCTCCATTGTTTGCAGTGTGGGGATAATAATTGGGGTTTTAATGGGGATCAGTAGAGACTTTTGCAGTCCCCCCCTCCCCCATTCCAGCGATCCTGATGCACCTAAAATGGCAGAGGCAATGTCTGCAAACTGCAATTCAAGAGCTTGGAACACAAAAGACTACATCATGGGCATAGCTGGGAGGGGATGCAGGGGGCATCTGCCCCCCCCCCCCCAAACAAGTAAGTAAATAAAATTACATAACTGACAGACTGTATCGCAGATAACTTAGTTCTGCCCGTGCATCATAAAGCCTTCCCCCCACACCCTTAAAATGGATCCTGACTCAGCCCCTGGACTACATTTCTGATTTGGCTACTCTGCAATGGTTCCTTGCAATGGTCTCAGCAGAGAACATTACCCACACCTAACATTCTGGACTAAGGTTCTCATTCTCATCTTTCCCCACATCTTTTTCTAGGTTTAAATGCCTGCAAAACCTACTGTCTCACAGGGCTGCAAAGGCAACCCCTTTAGGGGCCTCTTCCAAAAGAATGTGGAAGCTCCCCTGCTTCAGGTGGTGGAAGAACAAAGTCATCCCTGCCAGTGATGCCAGACCAGGTGAGGCTGCTGCTGAGGAGGTTAAGGTGAGGGCCTGGAGTCTGGGATGATGGCAGCTGGTGCTCAGGCTTCCCCCATAAGAAGAGTCCTGCTAGATCAGGCTAAAGGCTTGTCTATGATCCCCAACAGCTGGTACTATTGAGAGGCATACTGCCTCTTCTCCTAGGGGGTAAGATTGAGCCATTGATGGCCTTATCTTGCATTAATTTCTCCAATCCTCTCCTACAGTTGTCCAATATGGCAGCCATCCCCTTAGCTAGTGACAGGGAGTTCCATCCTTCAGTGATGCAACAGTGTGTGTAGAAGTCCTTCCTCTTGTCAAGGGCGTTGAAGGTGAAAATCTTGGTGAAAACTGGAGATGCCCATGGTATTATACAGAATAGATCCACTGAAGTTAATGAACAGGACTAACTTGTTTCAGTGAATCTACTCTGCATAGGGCTAGGTTTAATGCAACCTCTGGTGTTTGAGAGGTGCCACTTTGGCAGCACATGTTGGAGGCGGCAGGAATAGACTGATAACATTCAAAATGATTCCATGGCCTTTGCAAGGGTGTAAATTGGGTGTAAGTTACTGGTGTGAGTTGGGATTTGCATTGGCACAAGGGCCATCGGATTGTCCTACTAGTTACTGTATAGTAGAGAATTACTAACTCCTATGGAGAGATAACCACTAACACAAGGACGTAAGCAAGGACCAAAGCACACTTTGTTTACAGTTGGGAGTCATTGTTGTTTTTCAGTGTGGAGTATCTGACAGGGAACCCGTGCAGTAGAAAATTTGCTTTAAAAACAAGAACTGTACATTGAAGTTACATTGTGGACATGAGCTTGGCTTTGATTAACTTCTGTTTTGTCCATTTTTGCATTTAGGAAAAAAATGGTTATATTCTTGTCCCCAAATATTACACCAATGTTAGTTTCTAGTGCAGGGTGTTTTTTCTAACCTTTCAGTGGCCCTCCCTGCCCCCCCCACCAGCCTCTCAACATTAAACTTCACAGTGGGGATGACAAGCATATTGGTGTACACTTAAATGTATGTACACCAGCATGTTGTAGCTTGCATATTTGCTCAAAGTGCCTTAGAATGCAATCCTATTCAAAAGCAAGACCTATTTAATACAATCGGTCTTACTCCCAGGTAGGTAGAGATAGGATTGCAGCCATTGTGTTTTGACCCTTCAAGCCGCTCCATGAATAATTGGGGATAGAAATCACAGAGAAGCAAGTTTAGGAGAAACGCCCTAACAATAAGAGCAGTTTGTCAGTGACACAGACTACTCCCCCCCCCACACACACATACCTCGTTGCAGGTACAGTATTTAAGAAGAGTCCATCATCAGGGATGCTGTAGAACCTGCAAACCTTCGTTGTAAAACCTTAAATCAATAGTGGGTGCAGCTAGATGGCCACAAGCCACTAAGGCCCCTTTCAAATGATGATGCCAAATATAGTCAGATTAGGCTCCTTCACGGAGAATACGCAAGTGGAGCAGCTGGTTGCTGCTTTACTTTCCACTGCACACAATAGATATTGAATCCTGGTAGGGGAGGCAAGGGGGCAGCAGTAATCAAGCACACACACTTATCCTGTCCAGTACGTCACAGCACACCAGCCTGCAGTCTTTGCCTCGGAAGCACAGGCAAACCTCCCAGATATAAGCCTACTTCATGCATTTCCAGCCCACATGCAATTGAGGAATAGCGTCACCAAATGGTCATCAAAGTAGGAGAGATACAGGAGACAGCTACAACTTTAGGCTGTAAACATACCACCTGCAGTAAAATCTCAACCATAAACCACGCCACAGAAGCCATTATACACATTTTTATTCATGAGCCTGTTACAAAACAGAAGCATCTGATACAAATATATTTGATACTAGAAACAAGTGCAGTTGATACAATTAAACAAGTGATAGTGCTCATTACAGTTCAAAAGTTTAATATTGTAATACACACCTCCCATAGTAACTATGCAGATTTCCATATCTAGACTGGCATTTGCCCACCCTGAATGCTGCATTGACTGGTATGAGACAGTGAGGTTGTGAACATCTCCACACTGTTCCTAATCACAACAAACCTAAATACTGTTTGAGAGAACTAACATAGTTGGTGAAGAACACACTCTTAAAGATCATTTTGGGGGTTTATCCATTTTCTGCACCGCAAAAGCAACTTGGAGGTGACCTGACAATGTACCCAGTAAACCATGTTGGAAACAGACTTGTCCCTCTCCATACATCAGCGCTCAACATCAGAATCAGAATCGGATTCCAGATATGATGCTGAAACATTCCCAGCAGCATCTCTTTGCAAGATAAGCCACATGACAGGCCCATTCTCTCCATTTACAGGACGACGTACACGATACTGCACATAAGCTAGGCGGGGATTTTGTGAGGGTGGATTCCCAAAAAACGCAGAGGCTCCAACATTAGATGGTGATTGACTTTCTTCATAAGAGGGAGGGGGGCCATCAACATAGGGAGGAGGGGGGCCTTCAAAATAGGGGGGAGGAGGGCCTGCAATGTAAGGGGGAGGAATGTCAATGAGATGGTGTGGTGGAGGAGAGTCCAGCTGAATCTGCTCCAGGGGTTCATCGAATGTGTCCTCATCCCGGAGGTCTCTTCTGCGACGGTAGCATCTCAGCCTGAAATGGCAGAAGGTGTTCCAAGCTAATATGACAGAGGCCAGCAGAGTGAAAAACGGGAAGGAACCTGGAAAACAGAAAAGTCATAGAATCAGAGTTGAAAGGACCCCAAGGGTCATCTAGTCCAACCCCTCCAATGCAGAAATCTTAGCTAAAGCATCCATGACAGAAGAAAAGGCTAGTCAACTATAGTTGCAGAAATCCCATTTCCCCCAGCCAGTCATTTTAGCTTATTGTGGATCTTAATTATTTTTGGATTCTCCGGTCGGGGACAGAGGGTGGCACTTGGGGGGGAATTGTCATCGCGCCACTCCTTGGTGTGTGGAGTACCTCAGGGTGCGATACTCTCCCCGATGCTTTTCAACATCTTTATGCGCCCCCTCGCCCAGCTTGTTCGGAGTTTTGGGCTGGGTTGCCATCAGTATGCCGATGACACCCAACTCTATCTGTTGATGGATGGCCATCCTGACTCGGCCCCAGACACACTGACTAGATGTTTGGAAGCTGTGGCTGGATGGTTTCGTGGGAGCCGGTTGAAGCTAAATCCTTCGAAGACAGAGGTCCTGTGGCTGGGACGGGGCGATATGGGATTGGTGGCAACTCCCATCTCTTGCGGGGCGCAATTAGTGCCAGCACCGTCCGTTAAGAGTTTGGGTGTAATCTTCGACACCTCCCTTTCCATGGAGGCGCAGATTGCAGCTATAACAAAGGCGGCATTTTTCCATCTCCGCCAAGCTAAGCAGTTGGCTCCTTACCTCTCTCGCCCTGACCTAGCCACTGTGATCCATGCGACGGTCACCTCCAGACTGGATTATTGTAACTCGCTCTACGTGGGGCTGCCCCTGAGACTGACCCAGAAACTCCAGCGGGTGCAGAATGCTGCAGCGAGATTCCTTACGAGGTCTTCGCTGCGAGATCACATTCACCCGGTGCTATACCAGCTGCACTGGCTCCCGGTGGAGTACAGGATCAGGTTTAAGGTGCTGGTTTTAACCTTTAAAGCCCTATACGGCCTAGGACCCTCGTACCTACGGGACCGCCTCTCCTGGTATGCCCCACAGAGAAACTTACGGTCTTCGAATAAAAACATCTTGAAGGTCCCAGGCCCCAGAGAAGTTAGGCTGGCCTCAACTAGAGCCAGGGCTTTTTCGGCTGTGGCTCCGATCTGGTGGAACACTCTGTCACAAGAGACCAGGGCCCTGCGGGACTTGACATCTTTCCGCAGGGCCTGCAAGACAGAGCTGTTCCACCAGGCCTTTGGCCAGGGCACAGCCTGACTCCCTCCCTCAGCAATCTTCGCGGAGCTCTGGCCCAATGGTTGCCAGTGGCTTGAATTAATTAATTTTATAACGAATGATTTTAGACTGTTGTTTATGCTGTACTTTTGTACTGTTTTATTGTTGTTAGCCGCCCTGAGCCCGGCTTCGGCTGGGGAGGGCGGGATATAAATAAAATTTATTATTATTATTATTATTATTATTCTTTTAAATAGCTGGTTTTACTGATGATTTTATTGTTTTAGTCGTTTATGTAAGATGCGCTCCTAAATTTGCAAAGCGCAGGGAATCTCCAGAGTCAGGCAGGAGGAAATATGGGACAGCAGGGGCTCCGAGTGTATAAGACTGAATTAAAGAAGGTGAGAGCGAGGGGTTCACAATCCACATTAAGACGAGGTATAGACGGGCCCTTAGTGGATTATCTTTAAGAGAAAAGCTAATTTGTTCGGCGTGCAGAGTTTTCTCAATGAGCAGACCGGGAGCGAAGAGCATTGTCCCGGCGCCCCGTGCCCCCCCCTTCCCTATTCCACTACACCACTAACCCAAGGGGAAGGAGAGCGAGAGAAGAGAAGGCTAGAGCCTTGATCTGAAGGGGAAAGCCAGGAGGCTGCAGAGGGGGGGAATATAGCTATTCAATAGGACAGACTTATTTCCTACCTCCCCCCCCCCAAAAAAAAAGTCGCCGTCAAGTTGGTGGGCGAAGTAGGCTTACCTCGCCGTGCGGGACTTTCAAACGGAAGTTTTGTTATCCGTAGACCTGCGGCAGGCTTCTGTTGCTGTTTCTTTAAGCCGGTCTTTCCCAACTCGTAACAGCGAGGCAAGATGTCATTCCCGCCGCGCTCCTTGGAGTCAACGGCTCCGAACCCGTATCTCCAGGCTGGGCACATTTCGACCTCGGGGCACAATTGGACTTCTATGGCCAAAAAAAGTAGGATCCAAGACACGGCTTTCGCCATGGTGCACACGGACTCGAGGGATCCCTTCAGCGCGCGACACCACCTTTCCAAAGTCGCTGCTCCTCTCCGCGAACAAATTGCTTCCACCCTCTCCGTCTAACAATCCTGATTAACTAAACAGCCTCTTAGCCTCTTCCCTACATCAAACTGTCCTTGACGAGGCCTTAGTCGCTCTGCGTTTTAAAGAAACATGCGCGAGCATCCCAGGGTCACATGAAAACCAAAGGAAACAAGGCAGAATTCCCTGGAAACTGCCTGTGAGAGTTCCACCAACTTATTGTGCTCTCATGAGAATGCATTTTGTTTTCTCATTGTGGGGGTAGGGGACGGCGTGGAAGAACTGGTGGGCATAGATAGCACAAGTTATAGTCTTCTCGCTTTGTTTTATAATGACAGTACTTCTAAAAAGAAATCCTGGGTAGGTGAGAAGTCTACGTGTTTCAAGCACAAACACAAATGTAAGTAGGTATAAACGTGTTTTCACCCTTAACATCGTTCTTTAGACTCCTTCGCCGCTAAGAAAGCTAGGAGCTCCTTGAGCCCAGGGCTTGCTCACCCCCCCCCACTTGATGGCTCTGGGCCAGACGGGGTGGCATGGGGGCCTGCAGGTGCAATTCATATCATCGGCACGATAACAGTGCGTTAATTATTCTGTGATCCTATACCTGCGTTGCAGCATTGCTGCTATCTGCAAGAGTGCTCTTGTACCGTAGCGCAATGAAAGTGGGGTGGGGGGTGGGGGAAAGACCCAGAACAAAAAAAAAACGAATCACAGATTTAAGTCGGTATAGGAGTAACCAGAACGTGTGGTAATGCAAAAGGTAACAGGATTTCAGCAATAATTTTCTGGACATGCGTCGGTTGAAAATGAGGCAGCAGGTCCACCCCAAAGCTTTTGCAGGCGTAAACAGTACTGAAAGAGGGGCTGCTCCTACCTGCCCCACACACTTTCGTGAACGCACAATAAAAATTATGTCTAGAGCGGTCCTCCATATAAGCAAGCAAATAACGCTGTATCCCGTTCTCATATTTCGCAGCTAAGACAAGGAATAAAGATAAATGTGCGGGGTGGGAATTAACCCTCTTTTCCTACCTAGACTCCAAACACTTCCCAATAATGAATGTGTGCAGTATTTTCTTCTTCTTCATAGAATCATAGAATTGTAAAGTTGGAAGGGGCCATAAGGGTCATCTAGTTCAACCCCTGCAATGTAGCAGTCTTTTGCCCAATGCGGGGCTCGAACCCACGACTCTGAGGTGAAGCATGTCATGCTCTCTGTTTAACTATAACAAGGATAACTTAACAACAACAACAAAAAAGTGGCACTGAGCACTGAAGCACAAATTTGGCTCTCAATTTCCCGGCTGCTAATGCAAATAGAGAAATACGCAATGTGGCATGATTTTCCATATCGAACTGCAAAAAGCGCACAATCTCACTTGATTTAACAAAATTCCTCCCGAAGTTACATTCAAACGGACTTCTTAGAAGTGTTCTGATTTTTTTTACTTTTTTACTTTTAGTGCTAAGAAAAGCCTCTTTGCTGCAACACACGCGGTAAAACAGGGTTTCCCAAAGTTGGGGCTTCAGCTGTTTTTTTTTGACTACAACTCCCATCATCCCTAGCTAGCAGGACCAGTGGCCGGGGATGATGGGAGTTGTAGTCCAAAAACAGCTGGCGACCCAAGTTTGGAAAACTTTACCTTAAAGGTTGGCATCAAAAATAGTAGGTTGATTTCTGTATTTCCCTTTTTAATATCTGGGTTTTGATGCATTGAGAAAACTCTGTGAAGGATTACTTTGGTCTGAGATTAACTAATCTAAATTTTCCTCTAATTCTCCTTAACACATCTCAATCTGACACAAACTAACCTGTGAATCCAAGAAAGGAAATTGTACAAAATCTTACTTCTAATATGGTTTTTCTTTTTTTTTACTCAGCATCTGGTATTTTGAGCTTTTTGAACAGGAATAAAACAGGGCAGCACTGAAAAAAACTTTGATTAAAGTTCAGCTGGACCCTGATTCTGAAAAGTGGCATTAAAAGTGTATTCCTGCATATGTCTACTCAGAAGTAAATCTCATTAAATAATCTCATGATGAAAGTGACTAATAAATTTAATTATTTATTAAATCAGCAAGAAAATACTATCTTAGAAGCAATGGGAGAGAAGGACAGGTTCTCACTGCCTAATGTAATCAGAGAGACTGGTTTCCTACTTCACACCTATGCAATGTGATGCACATGTGCAAGATAACGTGATGTGATCAGCTCCACACAGGTCCTATACTATGAAGAGCACTTTGTGCTACATGAACCTGCATAAATATTATGGTAAGGATGCCATATGTCCAGTTAAAAATCGCTGGAATATCCAGGAAAACCTGGACATGGCAGCCCATGTTGGTAGTGTAGATTTCGAGCTCAACAACTTGGGGGGGCGGGGGAAAGCTCAACAACCTTTGTGTCCAGATTTTCAGTTTTTGAAATATGGCAACCCTACATTATGGTCATTGATGAAGGCTTCTCTCCACATCCAGGGGCCAGTCCCACCACGCCAGTGGGTTAAAGCAACCAGGTCATTATTACTGCCTGACTTCCCTTGAAATATTAAATCACACTCCTATGTTGGGTAGCTCAGTTGGTTAGAACCTGGTGCTGATAATGCCAAGGTTGCAGGTTCAATCACCGTATGGGACAGCTGCATATTCCTGCATTGCAGGGGGTTGGACTAGATTATTCTCAGGGTCCCGTCTAACTCTACAAGTCTATGGATTCTATATGTTCTAGAACAACCTCCCACAACTTGGGGGGGGGGCCTCCAGATGTTTTGAGCAACTGGGAATCTGCTGTATCAGTGATTCCCCATGCAGGGTACTCTGACACATTGCCAGTGTTGGTTTGCCAAAACAAGTTATGCTCTCCTTTTTACTTTCGCTCAGTGGTAGAGCATCTGCCTTGAATGCAGAAGGTCCCTGGTTCAGTCTCCAGCATCTCCAGATAGGGCAAGGAGAGACTCGCTGTCTGAAACCCAAGACAGACTCTGCCAGTCAGCATAGACAATACTGATCTAGATGACCCAGTAGTTGGACTAGGTAAAAGGCAGCTACCCATCTTCTTATAATGGCTGCTGCTTTTCTGTTTCTCTAATCATGTCAATGTTTTCACGACCCTTATCAAAAACAGCAAATATGCGTACAATCAAGTCCAGCTGGGGATCTGGGAAGAGAGAACAGGAGTTCAGAGAGGGGAGTAAGTTCTGTGACCTTGCTGCTCAACTCAATCTTTTTACATGGTTTGTGGTATTTTGAGTATTGTAATTTTGCTGTTCTTTTTATTGATAATAATTCAGTGCAATTGTTTAGAGTGAATTTCTGTACAATTATTATTTGCTGATATTCTGAGAGTTAATTTTATTGTGTACTTTTATAGTCTAATGAATTATTTAATATGGCTTTAAGTTGTTTGAGCCATATTTTTTATTTTGACTTATTTGCATTGGATCGTATTGTTTAAAAAATTGTCTTTGTTTTATATTTTGTTGTTTCTTCAGCTTATAAAGCACCTTCTGAATAGGAATATAAAAGGGCAATATATAAATCAAAAGTGATGATGATGATGATCTAGCTGTGAAAAGAGGGTTGGTCCTCTTGTGGATGAGTAATGATGAAGAACTAGGAAGCTGAAAGGAGGAGGAAATGGAGGGATGTGGAAAGCTATCAATGACTAGTAGCTGTTATGGCTGTGTTTGACTTCAGGTCTGAGGCATTGTGCCTCTGAATTCCAGTGGTGAGAATGCTGTTGTGCTTGGGGCATGCTTGTGGGCTTTCCATGGCAACCAATTGACCACTGTGATGACAAGATGCTGGCTGAGGTGGGCCTTTGGCCTGGTCCAGCAGAGCTCCTTTTTTTAAAGCAAGGGTGTATGTGTTGGTCAATAATGCAGTTGCTCAAAATTTTCATGAGAATAAAAAAGATGCTACAAAATCTTGGCTCTTCTCTATTGGCCTGTTGAACCCCTGGCTCTCTTGAAGTTGTCTGGATTTTCCTTCCAATCAATCTCTCTTCCCCTTCCCACAATTGTTGTTGTACAACTATTGTTGTACATAGTTCAGTCTGTTTTCCTTTCCCCCAAGTGGCTTGAATTGATGTTGGCTTCGCTGCACAATCTTCTTGGGTACCCGGGATCTGCTTGTTTTCTAAGTGTGCCAGGAGGGCAATTGCAGTTTCTCATCACTGATCCAAACAGTGTAGTTACAATGACAGTGCCAGCCCTACTATTAGGCAAAGCAAGGTGGACTGCCTTTGGCCGTGGCTGTTGAGGGAAGGTGGGATTATGGCTGCCCAAACACTAGCCATTCCCATCCTCTTGAGCTGGCAGAGTACGGACTGCAGTGCTTCTGGGTTGAGCTGGCTGGACCTCTCACCTAGTGGCTTTCTTCTAATATTCCATAGATAGTATTCCATTGGGAAAGAACCCTAACTGAGCCACCAGGTAGAAAAACAGCTGATCCCAACCACACATTCCAGCAGGCATGCTGACAAACTCATGTGCCACACAAGTTTGTGCCACTTTCAGGGCTCGAGTCAGGGGCAGGTCAGCAAGGAAAACAAAAACAACAAATCACCTGAGGCCAGTGAAGTTAAATCTTTATTCAAGGAAACCAACCACAAAGCTCAGGCCTAGTGGTCTCAACAACCAGTGTGGTGAGCCAATGTGGTGTAGTGGTTAAGAGCAGTGGACTCGTAATCGGGTGAACTGGGTTCACTCCTCCACATGCAGCTGTTGGGTAACCTTGGGCTAGTCACACTTCTTTGAAGTCTCTCAGCCCCACTCACCTCACAGAGTGTTTCTTGTGGGGGAGGAAGGGAAAGGAGATTGTTAGCTGCTTTGAGACTCCTTATGGTAGTGATAAAGCGGATATCAAATCCAAATCCAAACTCTTCCCAGAAGGCCCTGCCCCAATGAAGCAGTTGTGAGGACTGAAGGTCCCCACCTTCCCACCCCTCTCTAAGGTTCTTCCTCGCCAAGGTTTTTACCACACAGAACCAATCTGTGACTGCACACAACTAATCTCTGTTCTACTCTTTTCATTTCTCCGTGCATTCTCAGAGACCAGCAGGGAGTGGGGCTGGTCGCAACAGGAGGGGGAGATTCCCTGAACTGCACTCTGCTCAGGCCTCTTCCTTCTTACCAGACCTTGTTACCTCTTCAGCTTTTGACAACTCCTCCTCCTGGTCTGCTCCTTCTTCTCCCTCTGACCACATAATCGATCACAAGACGTGTCACAGGCACACCATTTGAATGGCAATAATAATAATATTAAATTATTTATACCCCGCCCATCTAGCCACCCCGGGCGGCTTCCAACAGAATATTAAAAACAATACAGCATCAGACATTAAAAACTTCTCTAAGCAGGGCCTCCTTCAGTTGTCTTTTAAAAGTAAAATAGTTGCTTATTGCCTTGACATCTGCTGGGAGGGCGTTCCACAGGGCAGGCGCCACTACCAAGAAGGCCCTCTGCCTGGTTCCTTGTAACTTGGCTTCTCACAGTGAGGGAACTGCCAGAAGGCCCTCGGCGCTGGACCTCAGTGTCTGGGCTGGATGATGGGGGTGGAGACACTCCTTCAGGTATACAGGACCGAGGCTGTTTAGGGCTTTAAAGGTCAGCACCAACACTTTGAATTGTGCTTGGAAACGTACTGGGAGCCAATGAAGATCTTTCAGGATCGGTGTTATACGGTTTCGGTGGCCACTCCCAGTCACCAGTCTAGCTTCCGCATTCTGGATTAATTGCAGTTTCTGAGTCACCTTCAAAGGTAGCCCCATGTAGAGTGCATTGCAGTAGTCCAAGCGGGAGATAACTAGGGCATGCACCACTCTGGCAAGACAGTCTGTGGGCAGGTGGGGTCTCAGCCTGCGTACCAGATGGAGCTGGTAAACAGCTGCCCTAGACACAGAATTAACCTGTGCCTCCATGGACAGCTGTGAGTCCAAAATGACTCCCAGGCTGCGCACCTGGTCCTTCAGGGGCACAGTTACCCCATTCAGGATCAGGGAGTCCTCCATACCAGTCCGCCCCCTGTCCCCCAAGAACAGTATTTCTGTCTTGTCAGGATTCAACCTCAATCCATTAGCCGCCATCCATCCTACAACAGCCTCCAGGCACTCACACAGGACCTTCACTGCCTTCACTGGTTCCGATTTAAAAGAGAGGTAGAGCTGGGTATCATCCACATACTGATGAACACCCAACCCAAACCCCCTGATGGCAATGCCAATTCATGAAGGATATGAATATCTATGAATGTCTATTAGCCATGATGGTCTCTGAATACCTAGCACAATACTTTGCTGATAACATATTTCTTATGACATCCTATAAGGCGGTGGCATAGGCCAATGCATCTGTGATGCCAGTTTGTTGTCAGCTTCTCTAGCTCCACCACCAAACTGGCAGTAAGAGATATATCAGTGAGTTGAGAGGGTTTTCATTTCTGACTCTAGCAGATGAAGGGCTGTGGCCCAGTTGCAATTAAGCACTTCCCTAATTTTTTGAATGTGTTCATTTGAACCTCAGTCCCTGCTTTTGCTAGCTTTAAGGCCTCTCTGTGCCTTGTTGTCAACTAGCCTGCTGGTAGAGGCTGAAGCATAGGAAGCTGTTTTATACTGAATCCATCTAGCTGGCAGCAGCTTTCCAGGATTTCAGACCAGGGAGCCCAACCTGGAGATGCTAGGGATTGAACTTGGCACCTTTGTATACAGAAGTGGATACATTCACATTAAGATATGGGTCTTTTCTAAATTAGTAGTTGTGATGGCCCTTCCCATAATTTGCTCTTAGGTGATGGAGCTTCTGCGACCTCCAGTCAGGAGAATCAGGAGACATTGCCTGCATGCAGATTGAAAGGTGGGTGGTCTCAATAGGATTTAAGGACTTCCAAGCAGGAAAAACCCTGTTGATCGGGAAGACTTGGAACTAAGCCGTCACTTTGCCAAAGGAACAAGCCATGTTCCCACTACTCCTGTTTTAGGGAAACTCCTAGACTTAGTCCCCATGAGAGGTGATATAGGGGTGTACCAAACAGGGCCTCCTCCTGGGTGGCATCACAAATGTGGAATAGCTTCCCCAGGAAGGCCAGCTTGAGAATCTAGCTTGGTCACTTTCAGCACTGCATTAGAACTTTATGATGATTATAATTCTTCTGCAAACACCTCACTTTTCAGTTTTCTTATTAGCTGTTTTCTCCAGCTTTAGATTTCAGCACCTTGTTTACAGTATTGCGCTTTGTGCCTGTGACCTGTGGCTAGGATTTCTTCTTCTGCAGTTCTTCTTCAGCTCAAAAGTTGGAAAATACAGTGGAATAAATTACCCATTAGTGATTATTCACTTTGCTCTAATTGCAAACAAACTAAAGAAAACTGCATGGGATAGGCAGCTCAAGATTCATCTATCAGCTTTCTCAGCTCTGCTGGAAGCAGATTGAGCATCAGGGGATTTTTGTTGTTCATTCCTTTCAATTCACAATATCCAGCTACAGCAAGAACAACACACTTGTTTAAGCATTGCCTTATCTCCTTTGTAGCTTTCAGGCTCTGCTAGCAAGGCCTTAATTAAAGGGGAAAGTTCTAAATTTGTGCAGCTTGGGTCTCAGCAACCTAGGAGGCTAAATGTAATGGCAAAAAATAAATATTTTGCTTTAACCGACTTACAGCATAATCATTTCAGATTTCAGGGAATTGGGAAGAGTCCTGCTTCTCACTTTAAATGTCTAGTCTTAGTCTCATTTTAAATGTCTACTCTTAGATATGTTTAAGCTAAAGTTATAAATGAAACATACTTTTACTGCGTTTATTGCAGCAGAGCTGTGTTCTTCAGAATAACGCAAGGAATGTTGTCAGAAAAGGTCACCCTACCTTTGCGGGTGTAAAGGAGATTTGCTTTTTTGGCAAACATGCAGATAAATTATGGTTTAAAGCTGCTTGTCTGCTTCACTCTTCCACCTGTATGGCACTGTAGTTTCTTTAGTTCAAGGTCCTCTAGAAATGGAACAAACACTATAACTATGGTTTGCCAGTTCAGGCATGGCTCTAATTCACAGGGGTATGCATACCCCTAAACATTTTGTGAAACTACGTTTGGCCTCATTGAGGGGCAGTATTTCAAGATGAGTAGGAAAATGAGAGTACCCCTAAACATTTTTTAAAGAAAAAAGCACTTTATAAAGATATGTGCCATATGCATAGAATTAGGACCCATTGCAGCTGAGAGCCCCCAAAGTGATTAGCATACATTGCTAACTAAGAGGATATCACTGAAATGTGACTACAATGAATTGTCATAGCTGAATTCCAGTTTGTAAGTTAGTTGCATCGTTTCCACTCTTCGTTTCTCACACTGCCTGATTCTAGTCAGCAGGGGCTAGTCCATTAGGGCAGGGACCACCAACCTGGCACCAGGTCTTATTTGGCACCCCTGAGCTTTTATTTTTTAAAAAAAAAAAATGGTAGGGAAGCACCGCTCGCCTACTTCTCCCGGACGCTGTCTCCGGCTGAACGGAATTACAGCCAGCTCGACAAGGAGGCACTGGCACTTGTGGCTGGAGTAAAGAGGTTCCACGAATACCTCTATGGGAGAACCTTTGACCTCATCACTGACCACAAGCCGCTCCTGGGCCTCCTCGCCAGTGATCGACCAACTCCACTGGTCCTCTCGCTATGCATGCTGCGATGGACTGTCTTTCTGGCAGCTTACAGCTACCAGCTCGTCCATCGCCCTGGAAAATTGATAGGTCATGCCAACACTCTCAGTCGTTGCCCACTTCCAGCGCTTGTGGAAGACCCAGCTCCTGCTTCATCGCTCCTCCTAATTGAGGACCTTCCAGCAGCGCCAGTATCGGCTGCCAATGTAGCCTCTGCATCTGCCCAGGACTGCATCATCAAACGTGTACTCAACTGGGTGTAGAGGGGGTGGCCGGAAGGGTCTTTTGCACCAGAGTTCCAGCCGTTTGCAACCAGACAGCACGAGCTCTCGGCTCATCGCAGCTGCTTACTGTGGGGAGACCAAGTCGTGGTTCCCCAAGACTCTGCCAACGCGTCCTCAAGGCTCTGCACATTGGCCACCCAGGGATTGTCAAAATGAAGGCGTTGGCTCGGTGTTATGTCTGGTGGCCTAACATGTACGATGCCATCACTTCGTGGGTTGACTCCTGTCAAGAATGCCAAGAGTCGAGACCTGCACCGCCGGCAGCTAAGGGCAACATCTGGGAGATGCCCACGGCACCCTGGACGAGGATGCACATCGATCTTGCCGGCCCCTTTCACGGCAAGACCTTTATGATAGTGGTGGACGCCTATTCCAAATGGCTGGAGGTGGCCCTGATGCCCTCCACCACTACCGAAGCCATCATCCGGGTGCTGTGGGGCCTTTTTGCAACTCATGGGTGTCCTGATGTCCTCGTCTCGGACAATGGACTTCAGTTCACGTCGGGCACCTTTGAAAGGTACCTCTTGGGGCTAGGCATCCGCCATGCCCTAACAGCACGATTTCACCCAGCCCGCAACGGGCAGGCAGAAAGAATGGTGCATTCAGCAAATGAGGTACTGGCACGCCTGGAACAGAGGGAATGGCACGAGCAGGTCACTGAATACTTGCTCATGCAGCACATCACCTCTCATGTAGCCACAGGGCCGAACTGCTAATGGGCCGCCACCTCCCGTCTCCGCTCGACTGGCTGCACCCAGACTTTGATGTGGCCGAGCCCATGGGCTGTACTCACGTGCCACAGTCATTTATTCTGGGGAATCAGGTTTTTGCCTGGAACTTTGTGGACAACATTCCTTGGGTGCCAGCCATGGTAGTGGGACTCACAGGGCCCCGTTTCTACCAGGTGGCACTCAAGAACGGACACTTGTGGCACCAGCACATAGACCAGCTAAGGCGCAGGGTTGGGGATTTGGACAGTACCGCTGTGCTCCCAACTGTGGCCCCAGCTCCGGAGCGGTCGCTAATGGAAGGCGAGGCTCCACCTACATCTTCCTCACAAACTGAGGGCATGGAGCCAAGCCAAGCCGTTTCGGTGGGTCTGCCTGGCTCTCCAGAGACTCAGACCACCGCCGTGCCTGACTGTCCACCGAGTCCACTCATGGTTCCTTCGACAGCAGCGGAGCCAGGGAACTTGGGCTCAATGCCACATTTGGTTGCACCACAGTCGCAGCCAGAATCGGGCAGCCACCTGGACTCTGGTACTGGCCCTTGGAGGTCTGGCAGAGTTTCCAAGCACCCAGACTATGTTCACTGGACAAACCGCACATGTAAAGCTGTATGATGCATAGGCTCAATTAATATGCTTATGTGCCTTACTGAAACCAATAAGGGTATTGCTGGAACCACTATGTATGTAATGGAACCACTATGACTGTAACTACAGTGGTACCTCAGGTTACATACGCTTCAGGTTACAGACTCTGCTAACCCAGAAATAGTGCTTCAGGTTAAGAACTTTGCTTCAGGATGAGAACAGAAATCGGGCTCCGGCGGCGGGGCAGCAGCAGGAGGCCCCATTAGCTAAAGTGGTGCTTCAGGTTAAGAACAGTTTTGGGTTAAGTACGGACCTCCAGAACGAATTAAGTACTTAACCTGAGGTACCACTGTAATGCCTTATCTCGGTGGGGAGGGGTGTTATGTATTGAAGTTCTCACCCTGGCCACCAGGGGTACTGTGTATATACAGTCATACCTCACATTAAATATGCTTCACGTTGAGCGTTTTCAGGTTATGCTCCGCAGCGACCTGGAAGTAATGGAATGCGTTACTTCTGGGTTTCGCCGCTCGCACATGTGCAGACACTCATAACAGTTTTGCAATACAAGCTTGTGATTTATGCTTTACTTGTAAGTGAAATCAGGATCATTTTAAAACATTCAGGTTCAGTATTTTTGAATATGCTGAAACATTCATCTAGGATATAAGTCAAGTAAAGAAGTTCCTGTTAAACAATTTTCAGCTTTTTTCCAGTTTTTGTTGTAGGAGTGTATTTGAGCAGTAAGCGTATTTAGGTTAAAGCTGTTTCAATTATGTTAAATGTTGCTCTTAAACCATATAACACCAGACGCTGTTTTCAGAGCATGTTCAAGAACATGCCTTTTTGTACAAACAAGATATAGGAGCTGTGTTGGAATCTCAAAAGTGAACATTTGGCATGTTAGTTCTAGTTTTTTCTTTTTAATATCTTGTAAGGCACATTTAAGCTTTTTAAGTTAATGGGGAAATGTGAGACATAATACGGCTACCTTTAGGATTTTGGTCTAGGTGTTCGTATGAAATCTGAGGCCTTGATTTAATCTTTCATTGTATTGTGATTTACTTTTAGGTGTTTGCGCTTAAGTGAAAATTGTTAAAATAAAACTTCCTTTAAAAAAAAATGACATCAGATGCAGATGCGCAGTTGTGGGTTGCATTCTACTCAGGATGCGAACGGGGCTCCTGAACGGATCCCGTTCGCACCCAGAGGTAGTTTTCACTCAGGTCCACGTCAGTTAATTTAGGTGGGAAACCCTGGGGTGTTGTTACAGTGTTGCCAGCCGGCTGCCTATAAAAGCAGGCTGGCTGAGCTGTTCAGTTCAGTTCAGTTCAGTTCCAGCTTACTATAAAGAACTACTTGGAGAAATCTCTGTGCCGTCTGCTTTGTCAACCCACTACTTAATAAAATACATACATATTTGCTTCTTATCTCCCAGGAGAGGAGGGGACACGACATCACACAGAGCCTTCTCTAACAATCCTGTTTCTATAGACTGCCTATCAGCAATGCAGCTCTATGGTCTTAACCACATGTTAACTAGCAAGAATACACATCGTTAGCTTTGACTGCATGTCTTCCATAGTTCTCACAGTGGCCAACCAGATGCTTTTATGGAAAACCTGCAAGCAGAACCCAAGCACAAAGCAGAACTCTCCCTTCTTGCAGCTTCCAGCTACTGGTATTCAAAAGGATTGCTGCTGGCAACTACAGTAATAGAGCACAGTCATCGCTGCTAGCAGCCATGGATAGCACTCTCATCCATGAACTTGTCCAATCCCCTTTAAAACAATCTAGGTTGAGGGCTGTCTCTGTTCCTGTGGCAGAGAGTTCCATAGCTTAACCAAGCACTGCATGAAGAAGTATTGTCTTGTATCCATCCTGAATCCTCCAACCTTGCTCTTTCCCTGCTTATCCAATGCAGGCACATATGCATATAGTTTTTGAATTTGAACTCGGTGCAGTCTGTATATGAGTAAATATACTTAGGCTTGTACCATTATCCTGCAATCCTGTGCAATGTGACTTGCTCGCTCCATGTAAACGTGTATAGGGCCAGGGCTCTCTGATTGACGGATACCTGTTTACACTTATTTTCAAGACTGCTCCGTATTTTGGGAAAATTTGGGAATATAAATAGGCAACGCAGCAAAGGCCACAATTTTCCCCACAGCCAGTTGTGTAATGTTATCATTTGTTGTTGTTGGTGGTGGTGATGATGATGATGATAGCACTAACGTGTTTCTCTCCCTGGATCTCTTTCCCCGGCCTCTACTCCCAAGCGGCGTGTTTCGAACTCAAGCCTTGGCGGAGATCCTCTCCTCCGCCTGTTGCGTGGTGAACGGTGCCCTTACGCAAGATGGCGCTTGCGGTTTCAGGCCACGGAGCAGGCCTCCGTCGGGCTCGGAATCTCGCGAGGTTCGGTGAAGAGACGGGGCTGAGGTTCTGAGGAAGAGGCCGGGGTTTTTTTGTTTTCCTTTTTTGCGGCGCGGGCGGGGAAGGTTCGGTCGAGGGTTCCGCCGCGAGGTAACCGGGGAGAGGTGCCCAGCTTTGGGGTGGGCCTCCCTCAGCCATGGAGCACATCACGACGCCCAAGGTAAGGGGTGATGTGTGTGTGATAGAGAAATGTGGCAGGTGCTGGCCATTCCTCCTCATGAGGCTTTTTCAGCCACCCCCCATCCCCCAAATTTTCAGCTAGTCCTTCCCATCCCCACATAACGGAGGAGGAGATGGTGAGGAAGGCCTATTGTGGATATTTCCTTCTTCTCCCCCCAATCCCTCCCCCCTTTTTGGTAAACCATATGCAGTGTAAAGTAAGGGGTCCCTGAGCACGTGCAGAGTGCATTTCATGTTCGTCTTTCTGGTGTCTTATGCCCTAATCTCCTATTTGCTTGGAGGGTGCGTGCTACAACCCTTTAAAAAATCTCACTATAGTAAAAATAAATAAACATACATACCAATGAGTAGAATATGCAAAATGAAACATTATTAAAATACATAACTTTAAAATAGAAATCATTCAGTAATGATAATATCCCGTACTGATGTAGTGGGGTTATTTTATTGTGCATCTTAATTACAAATGCTTACATTAAATGTTTGTGTGACTGGTTTTGTGCTTTTTATATCGTTTAGAAGCCTGTTTCAGCATTAAGTGATATAGTAGTAGTAATAGTAATGATGATGATACCCATTTAAAGCCTGCCAGGAATCCTTGTTTTCCTTTTTAAACCAGACAGCACTAGTATTACTGTATGCTAGCCTTGAGGCTGCTGCTGAATTGCTAAACTGTGGAGTTAGGTCTTGATAACACCACCTGGCCTTCTTGTACACAGGAATTGTTAGTCTTAAGGATGTTTTCCTCCTCCCACAACAAAACCTAATCAGACCCTCATTCTCATCCAGCCTTGCTCCAGACTCCTAGATCTTAGTCTCAGCAGCTGGTTGGGGTGTTGAAGGGGGGCAGTGGTTAGAAGCATAGTTATATGCAGTGTAATGTAATCTCAGAGTTTTTGAGCTTGTAATAGAGTGCATTCCCATAATCTTTCAGATGTTACATTATTGCTGGTGAACTGGAATTGATTAGCATTGGCATAATGGAATATGCTTTCAACAAGTCTTGGAAATGGCTCAGCTCATCACTGAAAATAATAATATTTCTATAAACGTTTGTGTGCTTATTGTTCTCCCTTAATGCATACTGAAACCCTGAGCCTGCTTCCCAAGGTGCTCCTCAACCTTTGCCACTTATCCACATAAGGTGGGCTTCTTGAGATCTTGGTCCTAGAATCTGGTCTTGAAAGCAGGGATAATTGGTGCCAGACTGTGCAGGCATCTCACAGGGATTCTGAGCATGTGCAGAATATATTTCCCACTTTTAGCACCTTAAATGGTAGATTGAAATTCATTAGCAAAATTCAGATTGGTAAAATGTACTAATCTATTCATTTAGCTTGTTGACATGATACTCTGCAGACATTTGAGCTTGTGTAAAAATGTCGTAGTCTTGCGTATCATTGCCTTTTTGGACTCACTACACATTTTTTCCTGTGCTTTTTCCTGTAGTTTTTCTGTATTTAAATCAGCCACGTAAATAAGACTATGTAAATATATAAGCATGCTAAGTGGCCAGTAACCTCTGTTCCCATGCTTACTGTAGAGAATGGCTTCACTATGGAATGCTTACTGTAGGTCATAGCTTCACTATGGAATAGTGAGTCGTGGGTCTTTTGACAAATTCACTCCTGAGTACCCCCTCGGGTGCTATGGAGTCAGTTTTACTCCTTAGTATACTGAAGAACGGTGGTTGATGAAATGGAATGGTCAAGGGCTGGAGCACAAGTGGTGTAAATCTTGATTGGAAGCTGACTGAGCACATGCTCATAATTTGACCTTCCACATGGCCGTGAGGGCCATGAAGGGATCCTACTCCGTTGCCTCCATTGCATCCTCAGGGAGCCATCCAGCAAACCTTTTCTGTGTCCAGAGATTGGTTATTCCTGACGAGGCAAGGGTTGATCTTTGGAGTACAGTGGTACCTCGGGTTAAGAACTTAATTCATTCTGGATGTCTGTTCTTAACCTGAAACTGTTCTTAACCTGAAGCACTACTTTACCTAATGGGGCCTCCCACTGCCGCTGTACTGGCGCCAAGCAATTTCTGTTCTCATCCTGAAGCAAAGTTCTTAACCCGAGGTATTATTTCTGGGTTAGCCGAGTCTGTAACCTGAAGCATCTGTAACCCGAGGTACCACTGTACAAAGTCGCCAGCTGTAACCAGATGGCTAAACAATTTGAGGATAAAGTTGCTTGGCTCCACAGCAATTTAGATGCTACTAAATCGAGAACTATAATAAATTAAAAGCAACATCCATAATTGTACTTACTGCTCCAAAACTTTTTCTTTCAAAGTCTTTGGTTGAATATTGAAGAATGTGAAGAAAATATTTTGTTTAGTGGGTTTTTTCACTTGCTGGAGCATTCTCTGAATTCAGGAATGAACATTATCTAGCAAGCGCATGAAAGCATTTACAGTGGTACCTCTGGTTACATACGCTTCAGGTTACAGACTCCGCTAACCCAGAAATAGTACCTCGGGTTAAGAGCTTTGCTTCAGGATGAGAACAGAAATCGCACGGCAGCGGCGCGGTGGGCCCCATTAGCTAAAGTGGTGCTTTAGGTTAAGAACAGTTTCAGGTTAAGAACGGACCTCCGGAACGAATTAAGTATGTAACCAGAGGTACCACTGTACTGTATAGTTTAGGCATTCTTCACTGAGAAATGATAAGCAAACAGCAGCTCCAACTAGCATGGACAATGATAAGAGATTATGGGACTTCTAGTCTAGAAGCATCTGGATGGCCACAAGTTGGCCACCCCCATTTAAAAATATTTATGACTTTAGAAAGTTGGTGTCTCTTTAACTAAAGCATCATACTCTTACCTAAGATGAAGAAATCTACGTGCAATATTTTTATTTAACCTAATAGTGGTTTATCTGAATGGAATAGATAAGAAAAGCAAATGCCGCATGAAAGGGTCCCAATGTGTCATTCATATATCAGGATCAGGAAACTCTTGGCTTAGCCATCTTGCTGCTGCTGTGTCCTTTTAACTTGTTACATCCACACTCCAACTTCCTGTTTTGCTGGCTGTTGCCTTTCAGAAGGCATGGGGGGACATGACAAGCTCTTTCCTTAGCCTGCACCATGCTAACATGGCAGAGAAAAAGCTAGAGATTTAGTTCTCCATAGCATTTTTTATTCAACAGTTTCTATCCTGACTTTTTGTCCTAACATTGAGCTGTGCAAATGCATATTAAAATAGAAAGCATGCAAGTTCTAATGTTTTTGACAACGCTAACATTGTTGGGAAATTCTGAAGTGTACTTGTTTAATTCATTAACGTAGCTTTATAACCTGACCCATCTCAAAAATGTGAGGCAAGTAACAAAAGCAGGCTTCCAGCTGTGATTTGCTTAACCTTGAGCCCCAAAAGCTCAACAGGTAGGCATTTCTCTCTTTAGGCTAGGTTCACTACTTATGAAATATTCACTTTGCAGATGAGAAAACAGGAGGGATTGCTGGCTCGGTTGCTATCACTACTGTGGCATCTTCTTAAAATATGATATATGCCACAAGTTGGTTGTTTTGAGTATGAATCCAGAGTCAGCTGTGCTGCATTCCTCTCCATTTCCTCTTCGATTGTTTTCGTATTATCTGTGTACCAAGGAGTCCTCTAGCAGCAGGAACTTGTGCTTGGAAGCTCTTTTGCCAGTGATCCAAAAATCCATTCTTTGTTGCACAGGCTAGCAAGGCCATTGGCGGAAGAGCTATCAAAGCTAGTAGGAGTGTTTCCTACAGAGCTCTGGCTCATGATTCTTTTGGATAGACTTCTTACAAACACATTGAGGTGCTGAAAAGGAGTTGAGAGCTAACACTATTTGCACTTAGAAAATCTCCCTTGCTTGTTTGCCTAAAAGTCATTATTTTCCTCATCACGGGTGATCAGGTGAATGGTTGTTGCAACTGGTTCCCCACCTCTGTAGGGAGATTGGAATATGAGTATCTATGCTGAATGATAATAATAATGCTGTTTCCATATGCTCAATAATTAAAAACCTGGTGTTCAGACCAAAGCATTCTCATTTAATGTTGAATGCTTGAAAGTAAGTAAGCTTGGTGATAAAGCTCCACATTCGGAATATGAATCCTCCCCCCTTAATTTGCATTTTCTATAAAAATGTAATTGGAATTGAATAACGCCATAGAAATTTTCTAAGCAAAGAATTAATTTTCTGAACATATTTTCCAGATACTGTATATGAACTGGGATCCTGTCAGAATATAAATTAATCTGGGAATAATGTTCATTTTAAGAGCATTCACTTTTCCCCAAATGGTGAGGTTTAATGATTCTCATCTATCAATATCTGAATAAACCTCTCCCTATATTTTATTTATATTGCATGTTACTAATTGAGATATATTTTGGCATAGACATACCTAAAGATCTGATAAGATTTGGTACAAATACAAAATTGATTTGGGTAAGCAAATTTTCACCTATAGGCATCAATTCCGATTTGGACCAGTTAATAGAGTATCTTGATATTTTACTAAAGGCATCTATCATTTGCATCAACAGAGGAATAGTAGTATGAGGTTTAGAAATAAACAAAAGAATTAAATACCGGAAGCTAACAATTGGTGTTAATTTTCTGAAGTGGGCAACTTTGGAATATACATACATAGCATCTTTGGTTGGGTGGATAGTATTAGGATCAAAATACATTAGAACTCTGGTATCTCTTGAAACAATTATGTCTGAGAGCTGTAGAATGCAATGTCTTAAAAAATAGGATTTGACCCCTTTAAAAATTGGGGGAAAGATGGTGATGTGGAAAAATTTGATGGAAGTGGGCATATTGACTTTGGATCAACTGATAGATGATGAATTTTAACATACACTGTGTTACAAGATAAACAGTAGCTATTGCGTGCAACCCAATGGCAGTATTTACAACTACAACATTTGTTAACTATGCTACTTTGTTTGGACCAGCAGCATTTTCAGCTTCTGGGACACCTGAGATACTAGAAGACTAAATATAGACTTTGCATAAGCAATTACAGTGGTACCTCGGGTTAAGTACTTAATTCATTCTGGAGGTCTGTTCTTAACCTGAAACTGTTCTTAACCTGAAGCACCACTTTAGCTAATGGGGCCTCCTGCTGCCACCGCTCTGCTGGAGCACGATTTCTGTTCTCATCCTGAAGCAAAGTTCTTAACCTGAAGCATTATTTCTGGGTTAGCGGAGTCTGTAACCTGAAGCGTATGTAACCTGAGGTACCACTGTATAATGAAATTTGGAACTCCATTATACAAAATACTGTAGGTTAAAAATTGTAATTGTTAACAGTTATAATGATATACTATATCTCTTTTCTTTCTCTTTTCCTCCACTTTTCTTTAAAACCACTTTTTATATGTTGTATTTAATTTAAAAATGAAATAAAACATTAAATCTCACAAGTGTGCACCCTATCTGGGCAGCGCAGATGACTTTTACGTTCTGCAACTTATCTGGTGTACTGCAGATATTTTAGAAATGTTCTAAACTAATGCCCACCCCCTGGCACTCTTCCTTTTATTATTACCCTACAGGTAGAAAATGTCAAGTTACTAGATCGTTACACCAACAGAAAGCCAGCAAATGGAACACTGTACCTGACTGCAACACATTTAATCTACGTAGATGCTTCAGCTGAAGTTCGAAAGGAAACATGGGTAATGTCAGAATGCAGTGTAATTCTCTTGCTGAGCACTGGGAGACAGGTTGGGGGTGTCTTGTGACCTAAAGGGTTGTATTGATGTCCATGTGTCTATTTAACAAGCCTAATTTGTTCATAGCTTTTAATGTAGTATGATGTGTTCAGGATTTGTCTGGTGATCATTTCATGAGCATATGGATAAAAGCAGCCCTAGTGGTCCAGCACCATCAGCAGTCTCTTCAATGTGTATTGGAAGCCAGAAGCGATCTGTGAAGGCAATAGCACAGCTTGTTGTTCAGCAACTAGTATTCAGGAGCATACTTCCTCTGATACTGTTTCTATAGTGTTGTTGGTGATGTTTTTAACATGATATTAAGCCCATAGCAATTGTTAGAGATAAACATCAATTGACTGAGGACTAAGTTTGCATCTATAAAATTTAAGCAACATTTGCTCAACTTTGCATTACCAAAATGGTATCTCCATACTGCAACAAGTACACACCCACCTACCCCAATTAATAGTTTCCTTTTCATATTTTTTCTCGCACTATGTTAATCTTATTTCATGAAAAGGAAAATCTTAAAGCAGGCTAGCAAATAACTCATACAACATTTTTAGTCTACAATTCCCCCATCTGGCCCACAGTTTTCCTGCCCACACATCCCTATCTTAGTCATTTGTGCCTTCAAAGTAAAAGAGAATCTACTCCTATAAAGCACCCCTGCCTGGAGACACTTGCCCCAGGAAAGTAGCTGTTTATGAGCCTGATTCAAAGTATCTGTACCAGCTGAGATTTAATTCATGCTTATGAAATTAATCATCTTAGTAAACAATAGTGTTCCTGTGGTGTATGATGGCCTAACTGAGAGATTTAACTTTCTAGAAGTCAAATTACATCTTTCATGACAAGTTGTAGTTCTCAGTCATAAATACTGACTGTTTGGTTTTTCTAAAATGTAAATAGTCTCTAGTTTCAGTTAGAATTCAGTCAGAATGGCTTTTTAAGCTGCAGTCAGTATTGACCCTGTAAGCTTTCTTCCTCTTTTTTTTTTTTACAGATTCTCCACCACCATATTGCTACTGTGGAGAAACTGCCTCTGACCGCATCTGGCTGTCCACTGCTTATTCACTGCAAGAATTTCCGTGTTGCTCACTTTATTATTGGTCATGAGCGGGACTGTCATGAAGTCTACACTTCCCTGCTGAAACTTTCTCAACCAGGTACTTGGAAAGTGCAGTTTGCTTCCGTATGGAGGAAGGAACTTAGCTTAGTGATACAATACTTGCATTGCATGACAGAGATTCCAGGTTCAATCTCTGGCATCTCCAGGTATGCAAAAAATGACACCCGTCTATCTGGATTTCCACTGCCAGCCAAGGCAGACAGTACTGAGTGGATACACCAATGGTCTGATTCCTATATTTCATACCCTGGCAATGCAAGTGCTTGTTGATGATGAGCTTTGGTTATTGAACTTTGAGCTCTTGTTAAACCAGACAGGAAGAAAGGAAAGCATCAATAGCTCAAGCTGTTTCCATCTCTGTTAAAAGAGTGGAAATACTTTGCATTTTCTCCTCTCAGGATGTTGGTAATAATTAAAACATTAATTTTGTTTTGGTGTTTGTATAGGTTAAAATAGTCTTTAAAGTTTTTTTAAAAATCTTTTGGCCCTCTAAAGTAGGAACCTGAGGCCCTCCAGAAGTTTTTGGACTTTAACTCCCATCAGTCCCTGCCAGTCAAGAATGATAGGAACTGTAGCCATGCAGCATCTGGAGGGCTGCAGGTTCCTGATTGCTACTCAAGAGTATTTGTATTCTGCTTAAAAGATTTCTGCAGTGATTTGATGTTGGTGGGTGGTAATTAAATTTGTTAGTTGCTTGTCGCACAAAGAAGCTTTCCAAGTGACTTACAATGTATTTAAGAGCATAAGCTCACATGAAAATAAAACACATGAAATCCATAATAAGCCACAAAGCAACCCTCAAAAGTAGTTATTGTTGAGAGGGAAAGGTGCCTGGATTGTGTGGTGATCAATTACATTATCAGTTTCATTTTAGAATCATATTTTTAAGAGCAAAAAAGAGAACACATTTGCTGACTTCTACTTTTAAGTATGGATTGCTATAACGACACTCGTTTTACATACCCATGGAAAGGAGGATGTGTCCTCGGAAAAGAGGACATATGGCAACCCTACTCTAGTCACTAAAACTGGAAAAAATAGATACTGTTTCAGCGTTTATAGGACCTATATGATAACAGAAAAAAAATTATCTGCACTTAATACCTTATTGCATGTAATAAGGGGCCATGGATGAGCTGGCTTCCTCACCTTCGAAGACAGAGCAATTTGAGTGGGATCTGGAAGAAATCCTACAGGCTGTATTGGGGACCCTGCATAGGCCTGATGAAGCTCCTTGGGTCAGTATTTGACACTGCTGAGATTAGAATACCTTTCACGTGCAGCATTCCTCAACCTAGTGTCCTCCAGGTGACTTAGACTACATCTCCCATCAGTTCCATCTAGAACAGGGCTGATGGGAATTGATGGGAATCGAAATCACGTGGAGAGTACCAGATTGGGGGGTGGGCTGCACTAGAGAGTCCTGCCAGCAGCTTCCATTTTCTCTCTAATTTTGGGCATCATGGTCTTTATTTCTTTTGTGCTTGAATACCCATAGTTTTGTTGTGGTTCAGTACCTCCACAGAATCCCGCACTGTCTTTCCTCAGCAGAGCACAAATAATTACTCATTATTCACTAGTGGGTGACTGACAGTTGAAGATTACCTGTTTGGCAAACTGGCTATTTTATCAGATGCTGGCAGAGACCAATCTGTCTCTGGAGAATCTGCTTACTTGAGAGTCAACAGGATAAGTTATCGATTGGATTTGCATTTTGCAACGGAAAGGAAGGAGGCCTGGAAAGGCAGGGAGTGAAAAGGCAGGGAGTGAGTTATTGTTGATCTGTTTGAATTTCAAAGCTGTCACTGAGTTTGACAATGATGTTTCAGAGAGCTACCATGTTTTCCCAGCAAACCCAAGAGCATCATTTTGCTGTAACAGTTCTAGGCAGATGAGGTTATCAGGTTCAGATGATAAGCAAACATATTTATTTATTTCAGTTTCTTTATGAATTGCTTCCTGTGAAGCATCTCATTGTAATTTAACAGTAATAACTGAAAAAGGAAGGTCTTTAGTAGGGACCAATGGAGACAGCATCTGTCTGATAAGTAATGGGTGGGAGTTCCAAAGGGTAGATGCTGCCACATTAAAGTCCCACTTCCTACCTTATATGCAGCAGACCTGCTGAGATGGTATCTGCAGAATGCCTTCTCCTGCAGAGGATATAAGGGATATAAGAGATGAGATCCTGTTTTAGGAATCAACTCCCAAGCTGTATAAAGTTTTGTGTAACAGTACCAGTCCCTTGGAACTTGGCTCAGTAGTTAATGGGCAGCCAGTGAAATTTTATACATTTATTTACTGAATTTATATACTGCCTTTTCCTGGAAGTCTTAGGGTGGTTTGCAGAACAAAATCAAAATATAAACCACAAAATGTGTAATCAAAATAACAACAACCCAATAGGCCACCCCCCAAAAAACACATTTTAAAAGGGCATAGGATGTCAGTCAAATCAATCAAAGGCCTGGTTAAAAAGGAATGTTTTTGCCTGGTGCCTAAAGGTGTATAATGAAGGCGCCAGGTGAACTTCCCTGAGGAGAGCATTACACAGACAGGGAGCCACTGCAGAGAAGGCCCGTTTTCGTGTTGCCACCCTCCAGACCTTGAGGAGGAGGCACACAAAGGGCTTCAGAAGATTATCTGGGTAGGTTCATATGGAATGAGGCAGGCCTTGTGGTATTGCGGTCCTGAGCCGTTTAAGGCTTTATAGGTCAAAACCAGCACTTTGAATTGGACCCGTAAACTAATTGATAGCTGGTGCAGTCAGACCAGTATCGGTGTAATATGCTCAAACTGTCTTGCTCCAGTGAGTAACCTGGCCACTGAATTCTGCACTAGTTGAAGTTTCCAAACTCTTTAGAGGCAGTCCTACATATAATGCCGTGCAGTGATCTAACCTTGAGGTTACCAGAGCATAGACAACAGTAGTTTGGCTATCCCTGTCCAGATAGGGGTATAGCTGGACCACTGATGGTACTCCGGTCCATTGAGACCACCTGAGCCTCAAGCAACAGCAAAGGATCCAGTAGTATCCCCAAGCTATGAACCTGCTCCTTCACAGGCAGTGTAACCCCATCAAGAGCAGGCGACCTCCCACCCATCTGGTCTAGGGAACCACCCTCTAACAGTGCCTCAATCTTATCTGGATTGAGTCTCAGTTTGTTGGATCTCATCCAGTCCATTACCAAGGCAAGACACTGGTCCAGCACTTCCACTGCATCACCTGCAGTTGTAAAGGAGAAATAGAGCTGAGTGTCATCTGCATACTTCTGACAGCGTACTCCAAACCTCCAGATAACCCCATCCAGCAGTTTCATGTAGAAGTTTAACAACATGGGGGATGTGATTGAGCCCTGTGGAACCCTACACTGAAGATTCCACAGGGCTGAAAAGTATTCCCCAAGCAACACCCTCTGGTAATGACCATCCAAGTAGGACTGGACCACCACAAAGCAGTGCCACCCACTACTAGTTCAGACAGTCACTCCAGAAGGATACTATGGTTGATGGTATTGCGAGGTCGAGAAGAATTAACAAGGACATGTTTCTCTTGTCTCACTCTCGACAGAGGTCATCATACAGGGTAACCAAAGCAGTTTCTGTGCCAAAACTGGGCCTAAACCCTGATTGAAATGGATTCAGAAAATCAATTTCTTCCAAAAGTGCTTGAATCTGGTCTGCAACCACTTATTCCAGAACCTTGCTCAGAAAAGGGAAATTAGCAACTGGCCGGTAGTTAGTTAGGTTTTCTGAATCCAGGAAAGGTTTCTTAAGGAGTGGTTTTACCACTGCCTCCTTCAAACAGGCAGGGACCACCCCTTCTCGTAAGGATGCATTCATCACCTCTCTGGTCCAGCCAGCTGTTCCCTCCCTGCTGGTTTTTATCAGCCAAGAGGGGCAAAGGTCTAGAGCACAAGTGGTTGCCCTGACTGATCCTAGCACCTTGTCCACGTCCTCAAGCCTTACCAACTGAAACTTTTCCAACACAACAGGACTAGACTGTGCTCTAGACACCCCATGAGAGCCATTTGCTATAACAGCAGAGTCAAGGTCTTGGTGGATGCAAGCAATTTTATCCTCAAAATGCTTTGCAAACAAGGCATAGTGAGCTACTGTTGGTTCTATCACCTCCTTTGGGCCAGCCTATAAAAGGCCCTATACAACCCGGAAAAGCTCTGCCAGATGACATAATAAGGATGCAATGGAGTCAGCAAAGTATGCCTTCTTTTCTGCCTTCACTGCCACTAGGTAGGCTCAATAATGAGCCCTTACCAGTGTTTGATTGCATTCATTTGGATCTTTCCTCCACTTGCGTTCAATTTTTTAAAGCAGTGGTGCAATAAGATGGTGATATGTTTGCACAGTGAACAGCCAAGCTGCTGCATTTTGCATTAACTAGATAGTTTCAGGCACCCACATGATCAACTTTGCACCTACACACAAGCAGCAAAACCCAGGTGTTCCAATTAGTGCTAGAAACACCACAGAATGACAGCTTGTTTTTCTGATTTCCAAGGGAGAGCAGCCATTGCTGCCTGTTTCATTAGTCTTTGGTGCAACATGAGCCTAATCTAATTAATTCTGCATATTGCTTCCCAAAAACGTAAGAATAACATGTTGGATCAAGCCAATGGTTTTCTAGTCCAGCATCCTGTGTCATAGTGGCCAAGCAGATGCCTTTGGGAAGCCCACAAGCTGGATGTGTTCTCCCTGGTTCTTTTTTTTCTTATTTAACATCCAGCAAAAGTTTGCTTATTCCCCTTTTCCTTCTTTTGTTTTTTGGAGACTTCTTTGGTTGGTCCTAATCAGCAAGGTTACATGTTTTCACATTCTACACTAAGATTGGAGTTAGGCTGAGAATATGATCCCTGTGGGCTGAAACCTTGGATTTGTTTTGGCTCTTTACTTGCTGAATGCAAGCACAAAACCAAAACAAGCCTCTTCCCAGAGAAAAGAGCAAGGTATTCCCACCCCCCCGACCTTGTACTATGTAAGAGGGAGCAGAAATCTTGATAATGTCAAATGTTTGCCTCACCAGAAGGGTCAGCAAAGCTTTCTTAACCTCTGATGATAAAAGTACTATAAATGCTTTTATGTTTGACTTCATCTCCAAAGGACCAATGTGGCTACCTACAGGTTTTGGTCATATACCGTATTTTTAGCCCTACAGGACGCACTTTTCCCCCTCCAAAAATGAAGTCCCGCTCGGCTCCCGATGGCTGCGCAGAGCTGCCTGCAGTCCCGGGCTCAGCGCAGCTCTGTGCGGCCATCGGGAGCGGGGTGCGAAGTCCCGCCCGGCTCCCGATCCGATGGCTGCGCAGAGCTGCCTGCAGTCCCGGGCTCAGCGCACTTCTCCCCATCGCCAGCCCCACAAGCTCGGGGGACAGCGGGGAGGCGTAGCGCACCTTCCCGCTGTTCCCCGACCTGGTTCTTCCAGCCCCGCACCTGGGGGGGAAATTTTTTTTCTTCTTTATTTCCCCCCCAAAAAACTAGGTGCATCCTATGGGCCGGTGCGTCCTATGGGGTGCAAAATACGGTATGTACAAAGGCATCTTTTGGGGTTATTGCACATCCATAGAATCATAGAATTGTAGATTTGGAAGGGAACCTGAGGGTCATCTAGTGCAACTCCCTCAATGCTGGAATCTCAGCTAAAGCATGCATGACAGATCCAACCTCTGCTTAAAAACCTTCTATGAAGGAGAGGGCACAGCCTTCCAAGGGAGTCCATTCCACTGTTGACTAGCTCTTACCATCAGAAAGTTATTCCTATTGTTTAGCTGAAATCTCTTTCTTATAACTTAAGTCCAGTATTCACATCCTAGCCTCTGGAGCAGGATAAAACAAGCTTGCTTCATTTTCCATGTGACAGCCTTTTAGACAGTTGACAGTGGCTATCATATCTCCTCTCCATCACCTCTTCTACATGATAAACATACCCAGCTTCCTCAACCGTTCCTTATAAGATTTGGTTTCCAGGCCCTTGATCATCTTGGTTGCCTCCTCTGCTCACATTCAGCTTGTCATCCTTCTTAAATAGTGGCACCCTGAACTGGTCACAGTATTCCAGATGTGGTCTGACCAAGGCAGAATAGAGTGGTACTATTTTTTGATACTTTATTGCGGTCATTGACCGTAATAAAAGGACTTGACTTGACGACTTGAGTGGTACTGTCACTGCTCTTGAGCTGAACAAGAGACTTCTGTTGATGCAGCGTAGAATAGTGTTAATTTTTTTGCTGCTGCATCACGCTGTTGTATCATTTTAAATTTGTAGTCTACGAAGACCCCTAGATCCTATCTGTGTACAATCCAGATGTCCCCCATCTTCTTTTTGTGCAGCTGGTTATTCCTGCTTAAGTGTAGAATTTAGGGTTTAGCTTTTTCTATTTTATCTGTGTTTTTGTATTTTCATCTATAAGCCACCTCAATTCCCAGACTGGGGGGAAATTGGATGATGATGGTGATGGTGATGGTAATTAATAATAATAATAGTGGTATTCTAAAATATATCCATGGGTCTTTCACAATAAAAACTTATAAACTTATAACCTCACAGAGCACCAAAATTCTTTTTAACAACTGTAAACAATAAAAGTATCAGTAGTTTTGTTTTGTTTTGAGAAGGAGCCTAAACGCCTGGGCAAATAGAAATATTCTTTCTTGGCACCTAAAAACCATGTACCTCCCATTCAATCTGTTGCAGAAGCTTCATGAAAGTTTGTTCTTTCTTTTAACAGTGGAATGGACAATCATATGTATATGTAGATGAATAGGAGGGAACATTGGTAAATGTCGTGTGAATTAGTAATTTAAGGGCTTTTTTTCCCAAGGCAGGGGGAGGCTGTTAAAACAAAATCTGAAATTGGAACAAAACTGAACACAAAGGAAACCTCTCGATGAGGATAGAGGAGAAATTTGTTCTGTTTTACTGCTACAGCTCAAACATCAGCTGGATAGCTCAATTGGTTAGAGTGTGGTGCTGATTATACCAAGGTTGCAGGTTTGATTCCCATATTGGACAGCTGCATATTCCTGCATTGCAGGGGATTAGACTAGATGATCCTCAGGGTCCCTTCCAACCCGACAGTTCTGTGATTCTATTTTACCTAATTCACACCTTCTAAACCAAAACACAGTTATCCTTTTAAATTCACACTTCTCTGAATTGTGATGCGGTTTTTTGTAATGCAGTTTTCCCACAAAAAATGTGTATATAAAAAAAGCATATGTTAGAGGAACGTGTGTGCAAAAATATGTATAATAGTGAATGAACTGTCCCCGCCCAGACCCCATAGAAGAGAATTATATTAGGGGAATTGCCAAAAAAATGAGTACAGATTTTGTGCTGACTTGAAAAGAAAAGCGTATGTCGTTTTAAAAAGGCACATTTCTTTATCTATTTTTAAAAAAGCATAAATAAAGCACGCTGAGCCTAAAACTGGAAAAACAAGTAACCAAGCAGAGCACATTTGCAGAGGAATCCATCCCTACTCCTGATTCCACTTGTGTGTGTGTATGTGTACCTGTGATTTATGAAGGATTCTGGCTTACACAATCACTTAACTTTTTCCTCTTTCAAAATTGTTTTTGTGCTCTAGTGAAACCAGAAGAGCTTTATGCATTCTCTTACAATCCCAAAATGCCCAAAGAGAACCGGGAGATGGGCTGGAAGCTGATAGATGTCAAAGTAGACTACCAGCGCATGGGGATTCCAAATGACTATTGGGAAATAACCGATTTTAACAAAGACTATGAGGTAATTCCTGTTCAGACAGCAGCTTAATGCAGTGTTTCATTCCAATGGCTCGTTACATTTTTCATTTTAATTTTATTCATGTATTTTTTATTTTACTTGTGAGCTGCTTCAAAAGATGAATATCCTTAAAGGCAGGATATAAATAAGCAGAAGAATACCAACTATTTTCCAGTGGCAAATATGCCTTTTTCTGGGCAAAGTGCTTGAGAAGGTGTTGGCAGTCCAACTTCAGGCATGCTCAAAGGAAGCTGATTGCTTGGATCCAATCCCTTCCAGCTTCAGACCTGGTCGTGGCACTGAAACAGCTTTTGTCATCCTAGTTGATAACATTTATCAGGAGAGAGATGTGGAGACTGTGCCCCTGCTCCTACTCCTTGAGCAGTTTTTGATACTGTTGACCATAGTATCCTTTTGAGGCAGCTCAGGGAGGTAAGGGTTGGGGGCACTGTATTTCAATAACTCTGCTCCTACCTCCAGGTCCATTTCCAGAAAGCAGGCTACTGTTCAGCACCATGGAAGTTGTCCTCTGGTATCCTGCAGGATTCCATCTTATCCCCCATGCTCTGGTGACTGGGAGTGGCTGCCGAGACCATATAACACCAGTCCTGAAAGACCTACATTGGCTCCCAGTACGTTTCCGAACACAATTCAAAGTGTTGGTGCTGACCTTTAAAGCGCTAAATGGCCTTGGCCCAGTATAACTGAAGGAGCATCTCCATCCCCATTGTTCATCTCATACACTGAGGTCCAGCGCTGAGGCCCTTCTGGCGGTTCCCTCACTGCGAGAAGTGAGGTTACAGAGAACCAGGCAGAGGGCCTTCTCGGTAGTGGTGTGCGTCCTGTGGAATGCCCTCCCATCAGATGTCAAGGAAATAAACAACTATCTGACTATTAGAATATATCTGAAGGCAGCCCTGTTTAGGGAAGTTTTTAATGTTTGAAGTTTTATTCTGTTTTTAGTCCTCTGTTGGGAGCCGCCCAGAATGGCTGGGGAAACCTAGCCAGATGGGCGTGGTATAAATAATAAAATTGTTGTTGTTATTTAACATCTATTTGAATTTTCTGGGAGCTGTTGTCATGAGATTTGGAGTGACACGTCATCAATATGCAGATGACACCAAGCTTTAGCTCTTTGTTCCCTTTGAATCAGGAGAGGCGGGTGAGGTGTTAGACCAGTGCTTGGAGGCAGTGATGGAATGGATGTGAGCCAATAGAATGAAGCTGAATGCTGAAAGTACAGAGGTGGAACCTTTGATTTCTGGGGGCAGCAGACAAAGAATCTCAAAAAAGAAAACCAACCCTAAAACCCCTTCTATTTTCCCTTTACTCTTAACTTGGTTAAGTATGTCTTAAGTGATTTGGACATCCCATGGATGGGGCTCTGGAAGGCTGGAAAGCCATTTGGAAAAGGCCCATAATTTTATAAAATAAGGTTGGATATGTTAAGGAAGGATAAAACTGAACTAATTATGCATCACTTGTTTTGGGATACAAGCTTTTGTATTGCTACATTGCAATAAGGTGTATTAAGGAGATAATAATCTATGAGAAACAGTACAAGGTCAGGGAGAAAACTTGCTCTTCTCTCTAGCCTTGCATTCTATAAAAGACTGTTGAAACAAACCACACATAAAAGGGTCCTGTAACACATCTCCTGAAAACAGTTACTGTTGGGTTTGGTGAGCTTTCCCTGGGGAATTGAAACTACAACTGAAAAGGTCTGACTTGTTAAACAAACTGACCTTACATGTCCAGGACACTTGCAGAAAGATCACTTGTAGAAGACACTCGTCTAGATCATAATGAACAGTAATGTTGTGCATTCTGTCAGTCAGAGCAATTCAGAATGAGTGTTTGGTGCTTGCTTGTAGCAATAGTATCTTACTCCTGCTGATTCTGAACAAATACTGCTAAACACCTTAACACATTTGCAGCTGACTTAGCTTTAATATCAATGTTGAGTTGTTAGAGCCAGCAGCTGCTAATTGCAAACCTGTAATAAATGCCTCAACGAGTTAATAATTTAAGATTCCAGTCCTCTCTCCATTTCATTTCTTTTTGTATCTTAGGTTTGCAGCACATACTCTCCAGATCTAGTGGTGCCTAAAGCAGCTACTAGGGCAACGGTGCTGGGGAGCTCAAAGTTTCGAAGCCGGGGTCGGATACCAGCACTTTCCTACTTCTACAAAGAGAATAATGTTAGTAACACATGCTTTGCTTTTCATGGGGTTTTGGTCTTCCTCCATAGTCAATCCCGTCGTCTTCCTCAGGACTCAACCTGATTGTGCTGTATGTGTAGACTAGGGGTGGGGAACCAATGGCTCTCCAGACATTACTGGACAACAGGTCCCATCTTCCTTGATCAGTATCAATATTTGGAGCTGAAGTCCAACAACATGCAGAGGACCACAGGTTCCCCACCGCTAGGATAGATCAAGCCTTGTGCAATGCTTATTGATGCAGAGGGCAGTCTTGTCTTCTTGTACTGAAATTGCTACCTTGAAACTATTTTAGCTTTACATTTTAAACACATGTAAATATTGCTCATGTCTTCTCTCTTCCTCTACCATACCATATGACTTCTTGGCAACATTTTACAGAAGTGGCTGGGCAAAATAATTTTGGCCATGATTTGTCGCTTTACGACATAGCATGGCCAAAATTATTTTGCCCAGTTTTGGGGGGCCCATCCTAAATTGGCTAGATGTTCTTTTTCAGAATTTCATTTAGAGAAGAGATGAGGAAAAGCAGCTTCTTAAAATTAAATATTATTACAGTTTTAAACTGGACTCCTAAAATCAGGAGCCCGGAATTCTGATTTTCCAGCTGGGTTTCATCCACAATTTGTGGAGGGGATGTGGAGGTGAAATGAGTAAAGTTAGATGGTTCAGCAACTACTGGCTCCTGATGACTATTAGCTCTTGGCTGGCTGAGGCATGTACAGCAATTTTTTGGTGTCTCCTTTTCCACACACACCCCACATTGTCCTAGGGAGACAATGCAGGAATGATGGGGAGAACCAGCTCCTGGCTATACGCACCTCAGCCTGCAAGTGTTGGTGAAGTCTTCAGTGCACACAGATGCTTTGGCTCTGGCCTTGTGGTGACTCAGTGGGGGCCTTGCCAGAATCTCTTTATGGGAAACCCCATGGACAGCAGTAAGCTTCTCCTCTTGGTCTCACCTGAAACTCTCTTGCCCAGTTCCATTTTGCACAGAACTTGGTGGCAACACTTCATTCAGATCAATTCAGAAGAGCATTTATCTTCTTGAAAACTACAGATCTGGTTATGTTGGGCAATGTTCAGCTAATTATATTTCAACTCTGCTAATCTCAGCTTTTTGAAACAGGAAATAGCTTGCAACAGAGAACCCTCTTTTATTCATTGTTGGCCTGATTTAAATGGCACTGGTTCTCATTGTGGAATAAAATGCTGAGCATTTAGCTTTTAACTTTGCTGTCCTTGCAGTGCCCTAGGTTCAAGTATGGACAGAATTATTTTGTTACTGCATTTGGGGGGGAACTTCCCTTGGTTGGTGGTATATGCGTTTTCATGCCAGTATTCTGGTTACTCAGCATTGTCACTGGTTTGGGAGAAGAATGATGATCAAAAGTAAATGGATATGAGGGTGATGATCTCATTTTACAAAAGGCACTGTCTCATCCAAAAGGAGGTATTCTTGGAATTAAAGCTGTTTCTCCTAACCCTCCTAAGCATTGGCAGGCCAGATAAACTTCAAACAGCTGTTAAAAGATAAGTTGGTTTCCCTCCCTACAGTTGTGTCACTTCTGTATACTCTCATAAAAGTTTCTCTCATAATATTTATGCATGTTGGTAGACCAAGGCAATTGCTTAATACACTGCTGCTTCTATCTGCAAGTGGTGGGTGGAGAAAAGCAGGTGCCTTACAATTCTGTGCTGGAGAACTTCTTACCTGCTACACGTGACATACTCTTGTGTCTTTCAGGCTGCAATATGCCGTTGTAGTCAGCCCTTGTCTGGATTAAGTGCTCGTTGCCCAGAGGATGAACAGCTGCTGCAAGCACTTAGGGAAGCCAATCCAGGAAGTCCCTTCATGTATGTTGTAGACACAAGGCCAAAGGTATCACTTCATGGGATCTGTGGGCACTTGTGTGGTCAACAACTCTGACTTTGACATTGCCTATACACAGTGTGGCCATAAAGGGATTCTGCTAGGGAGGAGAATCATGACATCCTTTTCCTAGTTTCATGGGTGGGCCTTACATAGTCCTTGGACTGCTTCATGTGGACCTTGGGCTAACTTCTTGCAGGTGGTAAGAAGGAGGGAAAGGGGAGGAAAGAGGTTGGCAAAAAGATAGAGAAGAGTGTGACCTGCTCACATTTTGTTCTTCCCAGCCCACCACTGCATGTACCTCCCACAACAGATTATCCGCAAGGGAATGTGGCCGTCAGCAGAAAAAGCGTTACCAGCTCTTGACACTACTGATGCTTCTCACACATGCACAAAAGGATCTGCCAGTCACTTCATATTTGCTACTCAGTTAGTATGCCTTTTAAATCAGCCTTCTGCAACTTGATGCTCTCCAGATGTTTTGGGTAGAAACTCCCATTAACCCTAGCCTGCACAATGGGAGTTATGGTCCAAAGCATATGGAAGGCACCAGGTCAGGGAAGGCAGATTTATCTCTTCTTAACTGGCAGCTACTTGCAGCATGTGGCAAAAAATACTGTCAGTGATGCATCATTTAATACTTAGCATCCCTAGGGGAAAGAGGAGAACATTATGGTAGGATTGTAGCCTTGCAGTTCTGATAATGTTCTAGTTTCTGTCTTAGAAATTTTTGTGAGACACCACACTGTATATAGGAAGAATTCCACTTTTTAAGTTACTTTTTCAAATAATGCTAAAGAGGGCCAGTGGGTGTGTATGTATCAGAAAGGGCTGTGCATAATCATTTTTTGCTACCCAATTTTTCCAGCTGAATGCCATGGCCAACCGAGCTGCTGGAAAGGGTTATGAGAATGTTGATAACTACGACAACATTCGTTTTAAATTCATTGGTATCGAAAACATCCATGTTATGAGGAGCAGCCTGCAGAAGCTACTGGAAGGTGTGTTTGGTTTTTTTATTTTGGCTGGCCACTTGCGATGATCACCTGTTGAGCTACGTTGCTGTAAGACAGGCAATTATTGTAGACACAGGAGCCTGTGTACTCTGCAGGTGTGGGACAGGCAAGAGATTAGGAGAGTAAATAACCTGGCAGCTCTCCCGGCTTGCTGAAGTGGCTTGCTAGTGTTACAGCTTGCTCTAAAAAGCAACATTTAGAGAGATGAAAGCTGGTGGGGGATAAACACCTGCATTTTAATTTTAAAGCACATTGAGAAAGGAGGGTTTGAACTATTTGAGCTGCAGAGTTCAGAGTCCTCCTTGTGAAATCAGAAGTGACCAACTTCTTTATATGGAGGAGGAGGGTCGAATCATTCCTGGCCAAGCTGTTTGGAGGCAGGATTCTCCCCAGTCATGATATCACCAAGGAAAATCTGATCCTGCAGGGTGAATAAGCTGGCTTTCTGTCACTTCTCACAAGCTGCCAGCTGAATCAGAATGGTACCTGATGGCACTTTGTTGCACACAAGTTTGTGTTTCCACTTTGGAGGGTACCTTGTGAGGTGACTGGATGCCCCAAAGGCTTTTCACCTTTGGTACATAGCAGTGATGGAGTGCCTCTTTCCATTCCAGCCTGCCCAAGCATTAAGGTTTTCATATCCGTGAGTTCCATCTCTTGGAGAGATGCATTATGCATCTGCAAAGGATAGGGCCTTCTTGGTGGTTTTGCCCTGGATTTGGCATACCCTCCCTCAGAAGGGATGAATGGTGTGTACTCCTTTTGCCACCTCGTTTTGGATTAATATTCCTCAGATTTTATTAACATCTCATTTTTATTGTTTCAATATTGTATTGATATTTAGAATTTTTATGCACACTGCCCTGGAATCCATGCTTGAATGAAGTTTAGGAATCTGCAAAATATTTTTTTTTTAAGCGAAGCACATAACCTGATAATATTAATAATAGTAATTATTATTTTATTTATATACCACCCAGCTGACTGGGTTGCCCCAGCCACTTGTGAGTGGCTCCCAAGAGATTATTAAAAACACAATTTTTGCTTCTCAGTTAACATGCCTTTTAAATCAGCCTTTTGCAAGGTGCATGGCTGAAAGACTCCCTAGTTTCTGACTACATGAAGGAGGAATTTATATTGGGTAGCAATTTCTGAGTGGCCTTCACACAAACAATTTCTCAATGCTTGGAAGAAACTTCCATAATGATAGAGACAGTTGTATGTTTATCATACCTTCCGCTTTTGTTCCTTTAGTGTGTGAAACGAAATCTCCTTCAATGAGTGATTTCCTTACTGGCTTAGAGAACTCTGGCTGGTTACGGCACATTAAAGCTGTAATGGATGCTGGTGTCTTTCTTGCTAAGGTAAGGCCCACCTCTGAATTTCCAAAGATATATGTCATCAGAGAAATGGGAGAGCAGGAGTGAAAGCTTTATTGCTTGGGCTGTGCTTGGGCGAGGCAGATCTTGAATGAACACTAGGAAAAGTAGGTCTTCTGTGTTAAACCTGTCATAGTTCCATGACTTTTACATGGAATTGGCACTTCAGTGTGCTCAAGAGGAGGCAGTTCCACTATTCAGCTTGGTTAGGAAGTTGTTCAGTGTTGGGGCACTCTTAAGGGCAGCAGGAAAAACTAACAGATCGTTAAAGTCCTTGATGGCAAGAACCATAGAGGGGAAATCATAGGTTTGTTTTTTCATATCCAGGCTATTAAAAACAAATGGAGGGCCACCTACTTAAATGGGGGGTGTTGGAGGGGGTCATGTGTTCTGTAGGCCAGGAATGGGAAATGTGGTGCCCTCCAGATGTTGCTGAACTCCCAGCTCACATCAGCACCAGCCAGCATGGCCCACAGTCAGGGATGATGGCAGTTGTAGTCCAGTACCACCTGAAGGATCACAGGTTCCCCATCTGTCCTCTAGGCTCCACCTGCTTCATAGTTCATTGTTTGGCCTTCTCTCCATATTGGTATCATGTAATCCAGCATTTTATTTAAAGCAGCAGTCAAAATGTTTTGCTGTGAAATGTTCAGGAGGTTTATATGGTATGTTTTTATTTGTGTGTGCCATCTCACCTGTCATAGGCAGTGAAAGATGAAGGTGCCACTGTCCTAGTGCACTGCTCTGATGGCTGGGATCGCACTGCCCAGGTCTGCTCAGTGGCCAGCCTCCTCTTGGACCCCTTTTATCGGACCTTTAAGGGATTTATGGTAAGAGCAGGAGAAAATCTGTTTTCACTTTTTTGTTTTTAAACCATATGGTCAATTCATGTAAATGGTTAGAATTGGTCTATGTGTAAACAAATCCCAATTAAAGCATCTAATTGCTTCTGTTGAATGCTTGTGATTTGGAGAAGTCATGGTGCAGTTGCACATGACAAATCTAATTAATTTGAACAGTGGTGGGACTGGGGGATTCTGATATATCATATATGACATGCCCCTTGACTTCTTTATATACAGTGGTACCTTGGGTTTCATACGCTTCAGGTTACAGACTCCACTAACCCAGAAATATTACCTTGGGTTAAGAACTTTGCTTCAGGATGAGAACAGAAATCATGCCCTGGCAGTGCAGCAGCAGCAGGAGACCCCATTAGCTAAAGTGGTACCTCAGGTTAAGAACAGTTTCAGGTTAAGAATGGACCTCCAGAACAAATTAAGTTTTTAACCCGAGGTACCACTGTATTTTCAAGCAGTGATGTAGGATGGAATTTTTTTCTGGTGCTTTATGTCTCTACAGAATTTTTTCTGTTTCATAAGTTAACTTCAAAGGTTTTGGCTTTGTTTACTGAAAACATGTAAAATAAACAAGCTAAATTAGAACACTTTCTAGGGCATCAGAAAATGTTCTGATCCAAACTGAAATCCAGTACAAATCATCTTTTGCAAATTTACCCTAATTTGCATAAGACATTCTTGAACTGTCTTCAGGAGCACTGTGTGAAGGTGAGCAGGCAAGTTATGGCATGGGCAGCTGCAGTTCCTGGTACCAGCTAACAGAATGCTTATGGGCCAGGCAGTGATGTGCAGTTGTGCCTACTCTCCTTCTTCCACAGCTAAGCAGATGGGAGGCAAAGCCATTCCACTGGGCAGGGCTGCACTTTTACTGCAGTAGTATGCATCAATGTCACTATTTCATACTTTGAACTTGCAGGGCATTTTTCTCTGTGCACATATGAACATAACATCAGTCTAATAAGACTTGAAGTAAAGACTAATGTGAGTTGTGGGGGAGGCTCTCCCTTATTTCATACAGCTCATACATATTTTTTAATTAAAGCCATCTATTCTTGCAGTTAAACTTCTGCATAAATGTTTGTCTTTATTCAGTCTGAGGGTATGTGTGATAGACCACCATAATGAATTGTTTCTCTCCCTTTCAGTTTTAACGAAGAATGCTAGCTGATACTGAGATTGTTTCATTTATTAGCATTCTTTGAGAACTGAAGTGAAGGGTTGTACTCGGTTGCTTATTAGCACTCTTTGGGTTTACTCCCCAGTTTTTACAACAAGATACTTTTTGAATGCTACAGCTTTATAATCCACTGAGGAAAAAGGCTTAAACCCTTCTAGAGGAACTGTGCTGGGGAACTTGTGATTTCAAATTCCTGTAATGTAAGCTGCCTTTTAGGATTATAAAGTAAACAAAGTTAGCAACTATATGCATCAACTTATGTCTGCCTGATATCTGCTACTGCTACTCGACATAGTAAGGAAAGAATTACTGTGCAAAATGCTGAAGAATTACTGTGCAAAATGCCCTGTATGTTAAATCACAACCAGCATTATTTTTAAAGCTTCCTTACACTTATTAGGCAGTTAAAATGCTAATTTTGAAAACACACACACATCACAGTGAATGCAGGTTTGCAGTCTAAAAATAAACAGCACAATGGATGACAGAAATATGACTCATTCTGGCTTCAGAGATTTCATTACATATTGGTTATCAGATTCAAATTCATATTTGTGTGGCTTTATTAGAGGGTAGATTTATTTTGAACGAAAAGAACGATATTAAATATTGGAATGTGTTGCTGAATTTCCATATCATGGGCTCCACACAGTCAGGATTCTAAGTTGACGTGGTCTGTCCTACATTAGAGATGCATATGCTCATTGTATAAGCGCAGCATTGCCGACAAGCATTTCATATAATTAAAGATACAAGAGTATGTGCGGCACTGCATAATCTGATCCCAAGGTGTACCTCAGAATGCTTCCAGGCACTTAAAAAATACTCACTGGAGGCATTTCATGATTCTAAGTGGTTTTTCAGTTTTTATGTCACTCTGAGGTTCACATAAATTGGTCTTCGAGGAGATGAGTCATGCATCTGTGTATGTTGTCTGTTTTCTTCCATGGGAGGGCTGCTGGAGCAATCCCATATCATGTAGAAACGCTTGTCTTAGAATTGGAAATCTAAATGTGTGGTGGTGTTGCTTTTGAAAGCAAAAATCACTTGTGGGAAGGGAAATGAGGATTTTTCAGTTCTACTGTGTCTCCACATGCATTTCTTCCTTGGGCATCTTTCTAGAAGCCCTCCTGCAGAGGAAAATATTGTAAGAGATCTGATAAATGTTGCTTGGCTATATTAACAGTCCTTTAATAGGCTGCTCCTTCCCTTGTGCAGAATGAGATAGTAGAATTCCGGGCTATACCACATCAGTCTGAAGTTGTTGTTGTTCATTCTTCCCCCTCCCCTATATAAAAAAAAATCCTATAGCACACTAGTACATTAGGGAAAGGGCTGTGTTAAAATCTCTCATGGTGAAGTGCTTGTTTATTACATGCTATAAGCTTTCTGTGGAGTGGGAGTGCATTCAAGAATATGACACATACATGATGTGGTATAGTTCAGAATTATACTGCCTCATTCCTCATGTATAGCCAGGCACTTAGAGCTATTTTGCACACAATGCTCACCCTATTAAAGCATCTCCATGACACTGATGTTCAGAATTCATGATGTTCTGATCTTGCCCTGAAACGACCTGCATTTGGCAAGAGCTTCATGATTTAATAAAGAACTGAAATTGCTATGATATTCCAAAGGTTATCAAGCAGCTACTTTTCGGGTAGTAGAGAGATACGATTAACGATGAAGATCTTTGAATTGACTATGTCTTTATTTATTGATGCTAGGCTTCTCATTGCTGCTGTTTTCTGCCATTGCTGCACTGGACCCTTTTAAAGTTAATTAGATATACACCAATGGTATAATAAAATCAGTTCAGTTATTCACAGTGCAAGAGGAACAACTGGCTACCTTTTTGCCTTCTGTTGTTTTACGTCACGCTGTTGCTTTCGTAGTAGCTATCATTTCCTGCTTCTCCCCATCCCAACTCCTACGGAAAATTAGCTACCATGGATGGAGAAGAGGGTCGCAGTGCTAACAATGAGACCCTCTTCTCCATTCTTCGTAGCTAGTTTTCATAGCCATTCCTCCACCAGTGGGTATGATTTCTAACCCCCCCCCCCAATTTTAAGCTTTCTCTGTATTTAGGAGGGAGGAGAACCTTTAGAAATCTTAAGTGAAAGAACTTCAGACTGATTTGTGTTAGTGTAATTTGTTTATATCTGAGCAATATTGGGGAGAGCATTGAGGTGGGTCCTGCACTGAGGCTTGAGCTTATTGCTGCTGCTGTTCACTATCTTGGTTGTTGGCTTTATGTCCCACTGTTCTTCCAAAGGAGCCCAGGGGTAACAAACATATCCACAATTTAAAAGCAAAAGCTGCTGTCCCCCCAAAATGCTTCACTGCACTCTGCCCTAGAAACCTTACTCCCTTGTCCTCTGTCTAAACCAGTGTATCCCAAACTTGTGTCTCCAGCTGTTTTCGCACTACACTTCCCATCATCCCTGATCACTGGTCCTGCTAACTAGGGATGATGGGAGTTGTAACCCAAAAATAGCTGGACTCCCAAGTTTGGGAAAGACTGTTCTGGATAATTTGCATCCAGGAGGGCACCCTTGCCTTATTAAGAATGACTTGCAGCATTTGAAATGGGCCGCAGAACACAGCGAGAGCACACTTAAGCCCTGTCCCAGTACTCTCAGGAAAAGGGAGTGGGGTCTTCAGTTACTGAAAAATGTGGGCTGAGGATTTCTTTTCCCTCTTCCTGCTTCAGAGCCTTGTTGGGTTAAAATTTGCCCAATTTCTGCTCCAACTAGATCAGTCATTGCTTGCGATTTTTAAAATTTATTTATCTGTATAGTTCTTAATTATTATTATTTTTAAAAAACACACCTCTAAGCAGTTTACATAAAATATACAATAATCTGATTTACATCCTATGCCCTTTTAAAAATGTGTTTGTTGTGGGGGGGTGATATTGGGTTGTTGTTATTTTTATTATGCATTTTATTGTTTTATATCTTTATTTTATTCTGTGAACTACCCAGAAAACAGAAACCCAAAATATAAATAAAACCAGCAGTTAAATATACGTTATAAAATAAGATTACATGTTCAAATACATGTCAGCTTTACATACTGTAGTAGGCTTGCCTAAACAGAAAAGGTTTTAGCAGGTGCTATAAACAGTACAGCAAGGACACCTGCCTAATGTTAATGGGCAGAGTTCCAGAGTGTAGGTGCTGCCACACTGAAAGATCAAATGGACGGTGTCTAGGCACAGTTGGTTTTTCTGATGGACCTGACAGCCTGGTCTTACACTTGTTTAGCCCGAAGTAAGTCTTGATGTGCTGCCCTGAATGGTGCCACTTATTTTTATTTGTAAGCCACTTTGTAATTTAATTTCTGTCTCTAATTTATCATTAAAGGTCCTGATAGAAAAGGAATGGATTGCAATGGGCCACAAGTTCTCACACAGGTAAAATCCAAATTGTGTGCTAAGATTAGAATGTCTGGAAAGGGGATCCTTCTTGTATATGCTCTTATTGGCCAAGTGCTTTCCGTTGATGTTACAATGTGGTCAAGGGGTTGAAGTATGACTTGGGACATCAACATTTGCATTTACATTTACATTACAACATTTACATTACAACATTTACTCAGCACTGAAGCTCATTGGGTGACTTTGAACCACTAGCTTTCAGCCTAACCGACCTCACAGAATTGTTGTGAGGATACAATGCAGAGAGAGAAACTCTGCATAGCACCTGATGAACTCCTTAGAGTGGAACTGGTACAAGGAAAGATAAGGACTTGTGCTAAGAAATTCCACAGATAAGACAAACTTCTCTAAGTGCTCTCCCATCCAGCTTAGCAACTGGAGTTGCTTGGCTGCAAAGGAGTATGAGTTTTTACACTCAGTCCTGCCTTTGAGGTTGTGCAGCTTCTCTAAACCCCTCACCAATTAGGGATGTAGGAGGCTGCTTTTTTCTAAGTCAGATGGTTGGTTCATCTAGCTCAGTATTATCTACACAGGACAGCACACGGGGCCTTTTTAAGGCCTACCTTCAGACAACAGAGATTGAAAATGAGACCTTTTGCATGCAAGGTAGATGCTTTAAAAATGGGTTGTGGCCCATCCCCAAGCATAACCTTCTCAGGCAGGGGTGGTGTGTACGCACACACACGGGAGTCTTCCGCTTATTGTGGCAGTTTGTTCCTGGTCACTGTACACATCATCAGAACGTGCACAAGCAAGTTTCAGCCTGTTCTGTCTCCGCCTTGCTGCCTTTTCGTACCAGAAATAATGTGCAAGTCAGTCACACACATGCTGGTTGTGTGCAAGTGGGGAGTTGCCTGTACACATGCGCATGCGCATACACACACCCATCATAAAATATCAGGGTAGTGTACAACAATATAGATGAGATAAAATATAAGAACCAATAAAATGCTTTAAAAAATGTTTCTATCCACAAAGTTTCCTCACACAATTTAGAACCCTGAAAGATCTTTGTCTTCTTACCCAGTTCCTCCCTGCCAACTGTGTGCTAAGCCAAAACTTGTTGCATGAACGTCACCATAGAAAATCCTACTAACATCTTAGTTGTTACAGAATATTCAGTGATATTGCTATAATCATTCAAGGCACCATAATAGTACTTTGATATTGTGCCTTTCCTTCAGGGAGTTCAAACTGGCACACATAATTTTACAGGTTGAACTTCTGTCTAGTCATCAGATAAGCCCAGACCTCCTTACCAATCATCATAAGGTCAGCTGGTCTATCAGAATAATCTCTCCAGAGTGTTTATTCCTGCTACTTCTCCACCAGATAAACCCCTTTCTTGATTCTCTCCTTGAGGTCCTAAAAATGTGTATTTTCCCTACCCCCAGCCAAAATTACAGTAGAAGTTTTGTGAAGGATAACTGAATTCTCCACACCTCTCACCAGATTCTTTGGTGAAGGATGAGGATCCACTGAAGGTTAAACGCCTGTTGTCTTCCTTCAGCAATGCATTTGATGATACCCTCAAACTTTTCTGTCTCTCCAGGTGTGGCCATCTAGAAGGGGACCCCAAGGAAGTGTCTCCTGTCTTCACCCAGTTCATTGAATGTACCTGGCAGCTCATGCAACAGTTTCCTTGTGCATTTGATTTTAATGAGAGGTGTCTTCTTGAAATTCACGATCACGTCTATTCTTGCCAGTTCGGCAATTTCCTGGGGACCTGTCACAAGGACCGGGAAGATATGAAGTGAGTTGGCATTTCCAGCCGGCAAAATTCAGTATTTTCTCCTTTGTTCCCTGAAGACTAAAATGAAGGAATAATTTCCCTAAACCCACCTGAACTCTGGAGAGTACAGTGGTACCTCGGGTTACATACGCTTCAGGTTACAGACTCCGCTAACCCAGAAATAGTGCTTCAGGTTAAGAACTTTGCTTCAGGATGAGAACAGAAATTGTGCTCCAGCAGCATGGCAGCAGTGGGAGGCCACATTAGCTAAAGGGTGCTTCAGGTTAAGAACGGACCTCCGGAACGAATTAAGTACTTAACCCGAGGTACCACTGTAATGCTCTAAAAACATTAGTTGAGGCCCCTGCAAATGTGTATGTGTTTCTTAAATGCATTGTCCCATTGAGTCAGAAAATATTTTAGAGATGGCATTAAAGGGGATTAAACAAATCTATAAGAGAGAAGTTGACGGCTATATGGAACCTCCATGTTCAGAGGCAGTTGCTGGGTAGCTGGTAGAAAGTGCTATTGCCCTTATGTCCTGCTTCACTGAGGAATCTGTTTGGCCACTGTGGTGAGCATTATGCTGGACTAGATGGGCCTTTGGTTTCATCCAGCAGGGCATTTGCATAATGTTCTCCCACATAGAAACAGCCTAAGGTGTGTTCTTGGAACTCCATGTGAACCTTCAGGATTTGCAGGAAGCTCAAGAAGATAAGAGGACAGCTGACACTACACCCCCATGGTTTGTCTTGCCTCCTATGAACTGCTATGCCAGACCTGTAAAGGGGGACTGTATATGGATGGAGTTACAGATGACAAAAATTTGGGCCTGCCATTGAATGTGGTGCCCCTATAATATCCCTCTGTAATATGCCAAGAAACTAACCTGTGTCCTGATCTTACCACACCGCTCATTTCACCTCCCTCGTTCTACTGCAGATGGGAAGGTGTACAATGTAATGGTGACAGGAAGATTGAAAGGGATGCTTCACGGTAGGGACGCAGGAACTTGACACGTGGCTGCCATTTTTGGTGGCAGCAGCATGGTTTATGTCACTTTTAGTTCTTCCCTATGATTGGCTGAATTGCAGCAGTTCTCTCCCTCTATAGCACCCTTCTGCTTCTCTAGATCCTTTTGTTTATATCTCCTATCATCAAAAACTGGCTACTGTAATCACTCACTTTTTATTTCCTAGAATCCTTGAGAAGACTCATTCCCTGTGGCCTTTCCTTCTCCAGAAGAAGCAGGAGTTCAGAAACCCTCTCTATAAGGGATTTGCAGCTTACAAGGAACTCCGGCCAAACACACTGCCATTTAGTTTCCAGTAAGTTGCTTATTAGCTGCTAACATGAGTTTGACCAAACTGCAGGAAGCAGTGGAAGACAGGAGTGCCTGACATGCTCTGGTCCAGGGGGTCACAAAGAGTCGGACACGACTAAATGACTAAACAACAAAAGTTACTTATTGGTGGAAAGTAGTTAGGGAAACAAGGAACCTTGCTGCTGCCTTGACTCTCGAGTTGTCCCATTGCTGATTCTGCTTTAATTTTGTAACTGCATAATGAAAATGAAGAGACTAAGGCTGCCTCCCCCAGTCCTGGTGCTCTTCAGAAGTTTTGGGCTACAACGCCTATCAACCCCAGGCATCACAGCCAATAGTCAGGAATGATGGGAGTTATAGTCCAACAACATCTGGAAGGAACCAGGATGGGGAAGGCTGCTGTAAGGAAAAATTAAAATTTTATTCCTTTGCTTGACCTCAAAACAAGGAAAACGCATGTTTGAAATCCTTCACTAGAAGCAATTCCAATGGAAATAACTGATTGTGTATACTGTTGTACACAGTGTTGTCTATCAAAAGGCATGGACACAATTCCCTTGTGGCCAGAACTGTGAAAAAAGTTGTTGCCTGGGATTGTGCTGCTTCACTGGGTGAAGAAGCCCCTTCCCAGAGAGAAATGTTTGATAATGTTTAATGCTTTGTTATTGTGAGATGCTTTGAGTTCAGTGTTATTGGAAGAGCTGCATACAAATATTAAATCAATCAAATGTCGAAAACTCTTTTGAATTCTGAAGTGTACCTCTTCCTATCAGGTTTATTTAACATGAGGAGGATGGGGGTTATTACACTTTATAAAAACTTCTTCTGTAATAAGGAAACCACACTTACATTGTCATCATCATCATCCCCTTCGCAGATCTTAGTTTCTATTTTTTTCTCTCCCTTTCCTTGAGGTTCTGGTGTGGCATGTATAACCGCTTTGACAAAGGAATGCACCCAAAACAGTGTGTATTGGATCATCTCCTTGGCTGCATCAGCCAGAAAGTGGAGCTGGAGGGTGTTGCTACTGACTTGGAAAATGTAAGTAGTGCACAGCAATGAAATACGTGTTCAGAAAAAGAAAACCTAATCTTGCAATGCAGGCCTTCACAATACAACTGAGATTGGGAAAAAGGAGGCACTTTTCACTGGAAGGTAGGTGTGGAATTATCCCAAACTGTGCCTTAGTATATCCATGCCTTTGCAGTCCTAGGCAGCCGGCAAAGCCAAAGTACTTGTGAAGCTTACTGTGGGTTGTGTTTTGGTGGTTTACCAGCTGTGTGGGAGTCTTCCAAGTGCTCTGTAATTCTATCTTCAATAATGCTGTCTGCCGATTTTACTGTGACCAGTTAGGGTTAGTCCAAGATGTTACCCAATAGGTACATAATATCAGCTAGGTGTTGAAGTGCTTTCCTTCCTCCATTCCGACCTGCTTCACCAGAAGATCTGATATTTGTAAAGCAATGATACTCCATATGCTGGTCTCAAAAATGCTTTTATTCTCATAGTTCATTCTTTCTTCTGATATAGAAGTTGCCTCCCTTAGAGGGACCACTGCCAGATGAGGTTTCCATCTTATCCAAAATGGTTACTGCATCAACTGTCTGTTCCAAGTCCCCAATGCTCAACACACCCCAGGACTATGAGGACGAGCCTCCTGCCCTGTTGGCTAATGGCATCCTGGCAAGGGAGGAGGGAGATGAACCTGATCAGCAGCTGAAGAGCCAAGAGGGTCTTGTTAATCCCCGCGACATTCCAGGTGGCGACAGCAGCAGCAGCAGCAGCAGCAGTAGCATCCGTGGGACCATCCAGCCTGAGGCTCGAGCAAGAAATCTCCATTGAACTGATCTTTGCATCTGCCCTGAGCCATAGAAAATCGGCAATAAAGCATGCAAGACCTGTGGCCCGGTGCTGGGAGAGCCACCTCACTCACGTATGGCTAAGTGTTGTGTTATGTATTTTGGAAGCAAGGGAGGAGGCTGGTGTTCAAAGGCTTTCAAGAGCAACCCATGGGTTTGCATGGGGCTGGCTTTTGGGCTGCCACAAATAGTTTCTGGGCATATCTTCCAGAACAGCCACACATGTTTCTTTTTCTGGTGCAAGTACACACGGCTTCTGAGGCAGGTAGCCGTTTCCAAGATGAGGAAGTTTTTTAAAGCCACAAGGTTTCAGATACATGGATTCAAAAGCATTGTGAGCTACTAGCGAATGGAAGAAAATGCCAGTCCATATTAGAGAGGCTTTCCTTGGCTGGCTTCTGACACCTTGCATGGGAATTCTCTTCAGTGGCAACATTGGGTTAATATTTGCTGGCCCCTGCACATATTTTTGTAAGCAGTTGTGCCTTTTTTGTTCTTTTTTCTTTTTTTAACTAGAGATTACTGTCGTGTCCAACCATTAGCAATGTGATGTTTTATTACTGTGATATGTGGCTGTAATGTGCAAGTTTGTGATCTTTTTTATTGATACCTTTTTTAAAACACAAAACAACCTGTTTTGAACCTGTCTTGCTGATAGTTTATATCTTTATCAATGCTAATGAGCTTGAATAATATTGTGGCATGTAGATGAAGTGGCGATAGACTATGGTCAAAGGTCTTAAAGCATCTATAGAAGTCTTGGCTGCTCAGTGACATGCCATTTAGCTTCCACTCATTCCTGGAGGTCTAGTCCAAGCACTGTCTGGGTTACTGTGCATCTTTGCTGGCATAGGAATGGGTGCACAGACTCTCCACTCCACCCCACATACAGTATTACATGTGCACAGAAACTCAGTTACATAAGACAACACATTCTCAGTCTTCCTGGCTTTCAGGATAATGAATCACATGAATTCATTAACCTTGTGGAACACCTGGTTCATGCATGGAAGGAAGGAGGGCAGCACACCTATTATTCTACCATAGGAAGCCTCTTGTCAGCTTCCTAAATATCTGAGCTGGACCAAAGTGTGATTACTGTGACATATTTGAGACAAAATGGGACCGAGGTTTCCCATTTCATCTCTTGGGAATTGCCTTGTGTGATTTGTTATTGACCTCCCAGAGTGAAGGATTTGGAAATAAAATGTATGAGTTTGTAGTGTTTCCAGTTCCACCATTATTGAAATAGATGCACAAGATTTGTGTTGTTTTATGCTTGTTAGTGGCACACTCCTTATCTGAGTGAGTGAACTGCCACCATGCTATAGATCAGGGGTGGGGTACCTTGGCTTTCCAGATGTTTGATCCCAATGCCCATCATCCCTGGCCATTCTCTGTGTTGGTTGGAACAGATGAGAGGCAGCTGTATTCCAGCAACAATTGGAGTGTCACAGGTTCCCTATCTTTCTTTTAATACATTCCTTATTGGGTAAAATAGTGATACGTAGGCTTGGAGATTCCTGCTGACTTAACAAGAGGAAGAACAGTTTGCACTTGCAAAATACTAATTTTTCCACAAAGCACTAACAGACAGTGTAGCATCCTACATTTGTTTTTTACTCCCCACCCCCCACCCCACTGTTGTGTATTTGCAGTCTTGGCAACAGGAGTGGATCAAAGTGAAGCATTGCTCCTTGTAATCTTCTGCACTTATCCAGGGAAATGAGATTTCAGGCACTAAAACACTATATCCTATTATGATAGAAAAAAAAGTCTCTTCATAAGTTAGTCACAGTTCCTGACTTGCCATTAGCAGCTGATTTCAGGACTGTGTTTTATGGAATACATTTTGAAATATTGTACAGTTATCCGGTCTTTATGACCAGCCTGGCATTTTCTCCGCATGTAATATTGCCAGAATGGTATATGCTTTGCTAGGACACTGAGCTCTGGTATTCTAATAAAGGTGCTTCTTAAGAATCTCTGCCTGGTTAGACGAGAACATTTCGCCTCACTTCCTCTTAGCCTTGCTGCTCAGAAGTCCATTAACAATATGCTGCTAGAGAAGATGCAAGCTTATGCTAATGCATATTTATCTTGCTTGTTTGCTTTTTGACCTGCTGGTCTTTTTTTAAAAAAAAACAAAACAAAACAAAAAACCTTCATTTTCAGAATATAGAAAAGGGAAGAAAAGTCAGGACTTGAAACCCTAATTAAGCACCGGGTCCTGATGAAAAGAGTTGAAACAGTACACATGCATAACAATTATTAGCAAGCAAATGTGTGACCAAATATATTGATGCTAATCCATGGGCACTAAAAGTCAAAAAAATTGTAGTTTCTTTCCTGTAAAGCAGGTGTGCAAAAACATTCTCAGCCCAAAGGCAACATTCCTTCCCGGAGAACCTTCCAGGAGCCACATATTGGTGGTAAATGAAGCCAGAGCCTAAAGTGGGCAGATGTAAGGATGTAACTCCCAGTAGGCCACATTCCAGGAGCACAAAAGCTGGATGTTACTACAGCTACCCATGCAGGCAAGCAAGAGTCATAGTTATCATTCAAGCACAGATTCCAGCCATGCAAAAACACTCAAGCAAGTACCAGAGCGTTAGTGAGTAGCATGGCTTGAAGAGTGGGGGGTGGCCTCATGTTGTGGGGCAGCATAATGAGAGTCCCAAGCAGAGGAAAAGGCCTGGAGGGCCACATCTGGCCTCTTGGGCCCGAGGTTCCCCACCCCTGATGTATAGATAAATTAAGTCCTTTGTTACACTGTTTTTAAAAGGAAAGCAACTTTTTTAAATATAAATTATGTAGGAGTAAGACATTCCAGTCAAAGGTGAGAAAATGTTAAACTATGCATTCAAATGTACCTCTGTAATAAGCACCTATTATCTTCTAATACTACTATATAGCATTTGCTAAGTGATTCCGTTTAAATTTCAGTATTAATGTTGTTCATTGTGTTCCAAAATGAACTTGCCTTTTCCTGGGGTAAAAGCACCTGTTATCTGACCAGTGTGATTTGAATGGAAAACAGCATTAGAATCATAGAATTGTAGAGGTGGAAGGGACCATGTGGGTCATCTAGTCCAACCTCCTGCAATGCAGGAATCTTTTGCCCAACGTGGGGCTCGAATGCACAACTCTGAGATCTCATGCTCTACCGACTGAGCTATCTCCTAGTAACTAAATTCAGTCTTCTGAAAGAATGGTAGTTGCAAGCTTTGAAGCTGTGATTCATGTCTCTGGAGAAAGTTCTGAAAGCACTTGAATCTTTGCCTGGTTGCTGAGATTTTGGATTCTTGCCTTTAAGACTCAGTCATAAATTTCATTATCTCAGTCTTTTATCACTACTGAAACATCTTCATTCTGTGCTAGCCTGAAGTGATCACATTTTCTTCCATTTCTTCAAGAAGATCACCAGTTGCTATCTTTTTCTTTGGGCGACACCTCTTAAAATATTTTTTTCCTTTCTTGTATATCTAGTTCCTTCATTTTGTTAAACACAATCCCATCCAATCTAATAAACTTTTCCAGCCTTGTAGTTTTGATCTCTAAGCCTTTCTAGCCTTTCATCTAGTATTAAAGTTCCTTTCCTCATGTAGATTGATAGAAAACTCTAACATTAGTTCTTGGTAAACAAGAGGATAAGTTTTCAAATAGGGATGCTTACAAAATTCTCCCCATCTGAATTTCTTACTAATCAATGTGGAGAGGATCCACATTACTCTATATTACCTTAAACTTGCTGAAGTGGCACTAATGTATCATTAGTCCAAAAAATTTCAGTTCCTAGGTGTTTTGTTTGGTCTCATGTGAAACTCATCACAGTTTTCAGTCTGCCCACCCCTCCCCATTACAGATACATTCACCAGAGCCTAGTACGTATACTGATTAAGCTGTGGGAATCCTGATACGTAGATCAGGGACGATCAATCTGTGGCTCTTGCATGTGTTGAGGAAGAGGTAAACAGAGGAAGCTTCCTTATACCAAGTCAGATCCTTGACCCTTATACCAGGTCAGGCCCCATCTAGCTCAGCATTGCCCACACTGACTGGCAGCAGCTGTCCAGGATTTTAGACAGAGTCTCTTTTCAGCCCTTCCTGGAGATGCTACTAGAGATTGAACTTGAGACCTTATGCATGCAAAGCAGATGCTCTACCACTGAGCTGCAGCCTCTTTTGGAGTGGGGTGGAATGACAGGGAGGACCTGTTCACTTTGAGTTCTGGTCCCACTCACCACCATCTGGAAGCAAATACAGTCCTCAAGAGAAAAAGCTTTCCCCATCACTATGGTAGGTTGAGATCCATTTTTCATGACTGTAATTTAATCAATCTGGATTCCATTGGTGTGTGCATTAGTCACATGGAAGTAGGAGAAATATGTGAATTAAGAACTGCAGTGCCTGCTACAAATTCACAGGTTTTATAGTCCTTGCCCAATCTAGAAAGTCATGCATGACCCAGTAAATCCATGGAATAAAACTGGCGTGTGGGGAGATAGCCAAACATTCCTTGCTAATGTGAAGTAGTCTGTTAATAAACTGATTTTATTGCATTTGTTTTCTCTCTATAGATAGATATAATTAAAACAAAATATGATACCTAATTGTTCAAAGCGGTTTAAGCAAAAAGGGATTGTGGTAAAATGGCAAATGCAGTTCAGTATAAGCAAGGGTCAGGTTATGTACACTGAGGCAAAAAAATAATAATTAATTTCACATATATATGCTCTTGGGGATGAACTGCTGGTGAGTGACCAGGAATGAGACCTTGGGGTTGTAGTGGATATTTTAATGAAAATGTTGACCCAGTGTGTGGCAGCTGTGAAAAAAGTGAATGCCATGGTAAAATAAAACTGCCAATATCATAATGCAAATCTATGATGCAGCCACTCTTGGAATACTTCTCTCAAAAAGGATATTTTTCATGGAAGAGGTTATGAAAAGGGCATCTAAAATGATCAAGGGGGTGGAGCAGCTCCCCTATGAGGAAAGGTTACAGCATTTAGTTTGGTAAAAAAGCAAGTAAGATTTTGTGGCATGGAGAAAGTAGAGAGAAGTTTTTTGTCCCCCATAATACTAGCACTCAGGGACATCCAATGCTGGAAGAATCAGGACAGAACGTATTTCTCCACCCAGCAAACAGTTGAAATGTGGAAATTGTTCCCACAAGAGGTAGTGATGAATAGTTTGGATGGCTATAAAAGAGGATTAGACAAATTCATGGAGGATAAAGTTATCAATGTCTGTCAGCCAAGATGGTTATGTTCTATCTCCACTTGATGCTGGGAGGCTTCTCTTGTGCTCGGATCCTACTTGCGGGTTTTCTTTAGGCATTGTTGGCTGCTTGAAAAACAGAATGCAGAACTAGATGTGCTTTGTGGTGATCCAGCAGGCTCTTCTTATATTGAACTTGTTGCACAGCGAAGTCAGAACACAGAGTCAAAATTCACAGTAAAAAAGAAAAACTTGTACTGAGGTAAACAGACTTCTTTACACTGTACAAACAAAAATGGAAGAGAGCAAAGTAAAAAGAAGTAAAGCGCACAGCGAGCCCATGTATTTATCCTTCCTGGCTCCATGTGACTTCCTGTAATTGAAACAATATAAGGAAATGAGTTAGAGTGAGTCAGCTAGAAGAATGAATCTGCACTTTTCAGCCTTTTCCAACACTTTACTGCTTCTGCTCTCAAAGACCGTTGTCACATGACAGAACTTTCCATCTCATGCCTTGCTCACGTTGTTGTCCAAGAGATGGGCATATCTGAAAGACTATCTTTGCATGTGGACAGATGTACATATTCTGGAGGTAGGCTATATCTCTTCACGTATATGTCTGTACCAGATGTGGACTGGTTCAGTTAAGAGATGCAAGTAATTCTTATGCAGGCAAGCTCTGAGATGAGTTGAGATGAAAGAAAAATAGGCTTCTTTTATTTTGAGCCGTACACTTTCTACTTAAAGTTTGTGTGTAAGATCTGTATGCTAAAGGTCTACACACACCTGAATGTACCAGGTCACTTGCACTGACGTGTAGTGCATTAGCAGGCAATTTCACCAGACTGCATAATGTAGCTCTTCTCTCCAGCAGTTGGATCATTTTTGACTTCTCTAATTATGAACAACATTTTCCATGTCAAGAACAGAAATACAGAAGACTGCTGAAAACGCTGTAGCACGTCCTTGGGCCTCCTATATCAGATATAATTGGCTTCCCACTGTGGCACCAAGCAGAGTCTAGATTTCTTAAAGCTCTTACCTGCTGCTAAAAATAGTGTTTAGGGATGAATGGGAAATGGGAAATCTGAAAATGTCTGCCCAAGTCTATCCATGAATAGGTTTCATGAGGCTCCTTTTCTCAATGGATGTGGAGTGATTTACCTGATCATGCCCACTGGTCTTCCCTAAGGGTCTGTCTTTTCTGATCCCCCTTGCATCACTGTTAGATCTGGTCTTTATTTGACTCCCTTGTGTTTCCTTCTGCTCAGTATGCCATCGCAATTAGGAAAAAATGCCAAAGGGGGGGAACCAGTGCCAGGTGTTTACATTACACCTGTCATGGACATTATAAAGAGAAGGCAAGGCCTCTCTTGGTTCCCACTCAAAACACAACGGCAGCTGCTCTTCCTTGAAAGGGTGGAATAGATATTTAGTGAAGCAGAAGTAACAGTACAGACCCAGTGACCAGCATAGAATTATAGTAGGATCAGAGCTCTGAGAAAGTGACAGTAATTGGCAGGATTCGTTGGGCTAGAAGCAAGCATTCCAAGTTCAAAGAGTCCAAGATCAGGGCAAGAGGTTCAGAAATGCACTGAAGTCAGAGTTCTCACAACCAACTGCCAAGCTTTTAAAGGTGGGGTTTGCTTATTCATGAGATCCTTATACCTTGTGTGAATGTTGAACTTGCAGACATGCACTGCATTGGTGATGGTGGGGTGTCTTCCCACCTGCAGAGCTGCCATGAGGTCCTGAATGACAAGGCTGTGCCCTTCATTTCTATATCCTTCACACACACACACACCCCAAGTAGTTGGCTGATGCCCTCCCCAGACTGCACTGATACTGACTTCTCTGTTGGAGGGATCCCCACCACCCCATCCGGGGCTGCCGGACTCTGGGGAAGGGGTGAACCTGCCTCCTCCAGTCTCTCTTCCATTGACACAGCTCCCACTATTCCTTTCTCCTCATCACCTTCCTTGTTCTCCACAACTTTCCAACCCTAAGCCTGACAGAGTCTCAGGCCTCACAATGTAGCTGCTGCTGCCCCAGTCTTTTATGAAAACACAAGATGGGCACTGGTTAATACTGTCGAAGCAAAGTGAGTTCCTGTTGGCTGCTTGCTTGCTTCCTTGCTTATGATCAATATGTGGAGTTGGGCAACATGATGCCACATAGACACCTAAAACCTTGTAGAGTGCTACCAGCGACTGGGTGGGGAGCTGTTACTTGTAATGGTGAGTGATTATGCCATGAATAGGTAAAGATAAGAAGATCCTGGTAGAGCAGGCCAGGGACCCACCTAGCCCAGCATCTTCTCACAGTGGTCAGCCAGATGCTTATGGGAAGCCCCAAAGCAGCAACCAAACACAATAGCACCCTACCCACTTGTGATTCCCAGCAACTGGCATTTAGAGACATACTGCCTCCTAACAAAGGAGGTAAACATGTGGTCCTCCACTTGTTTGTTTTTAGTCTCCCAACTCCCATCAGCTCCAGCCAGCATAGCCAGCGGCCAGGGATGATGGGAGGTGGTAGACCAGCAACACCTGGAGGCTCACAAGTCCCCCATCTCTTGGTTCAGCCAAGCTTACCAGGCCATCACTACCACATGGAAGAAAGGGTAGCATGGACAGAGTAAGTCTGGGTTCATCACTGTCAAACACTGCCCCCCTACGCACCTGCAGGTAGTTGTGTGTAAAATAGCTGTGTGATGTGATGACTTCCAGTCCATACAGTGTCCCCTGTTACCAGGTTAAACCATAAACTATGACTATGAAAGGGAAAGTAGAATTTGCACAGCAAGGGTGAGAGGCCCCATTCTCCAGTTCTTGCTGAGCCTTTGCATTAGTGATGCAATGAGACACAGCACACATTGCTTGGGCTCTCGTCTGGTTGTCATTGCATGTTATATAATTTGATTTGAACATAGCTGTTGGACACGAGAAATCGTGGAACAGACTTCTGATTTTACATCCCTCCTTCTGCTTTATTCAGCCTTCATGGTTTCATGGCAAAAGTCATCCTTCTTGCATAATGGCACTTCTCCCTTTTCCTTCCATTAACACCTTGTACCTTGAATACTTCAAGAGCACATTTTACCTACACAGAGCCTTCAACTCCCACAGAACCCCAGTGCATTGCAGGGGATAATAGGACATATTCTGCAGTAGCCTTCCCCAACCTGGTGTTCTCCAGATGTTTTAGACTGGGGTAGTCACCTTTTTTATACCTACCACCCACTAATGCATCTTTCTTGATGGTAAAACTTCCTTACTGCCCACCAGTGCTCGATGGAAGGAGGATTCAGCTTGTGCCGTAGAACCCCCTACCGCCCACCTAGAATCCTGAAATGCCCATTAGTGGGCAGTAGGGACCAGTTTGACAACCCCGGTTTTAGACTGTAACTCTCACCAGCGCCCCCACCCCCTATCTTGGCTTGAGCTGATGGGAGTAGAAGTCCAAAGCATTTAGAAAGCATATGTTTCAGGAAGGCTGTTCTACCATCAAGTAGAGCACTTGACCAAGCTTATTGATGAGCCTTGTGACCCTAGAACATGACACAGAACACACCTACTTCTTCTCTGTGGATCAGCAGGAGGCTGAAATGCTTCTGAATGACCCACAGGACTCCATACCATCCAACATTTCTCCAATGAAAATAGGGACATCCTAAGGAAAAGTACTTTCCAGGATAAAATCAGAAATGGACTGCTTTTCTAAATCAGGGACATTCCTGGAAAATAGGGACACGTGGAGGGTCTGCAATCATGGGAGTTGTAGTCCAGCAACACCTGCAGGCAACACATGTTCTCACCCTGTTCTAGCTGAGGAACACCCCCCCCCCAATGTATTTGGCCCATTAAGGGATGCCAGAAGAGGGTAGGAACATCTGTACTACTCACCACAAACATTAATCCGACTGTGCGTGCATATTTGTATGTATATATGTGTGTGTTTGTGGAGCAATGTAATTATTGGGTTGTGCAGTGTGTCTGTTTCTGTTTTTTAAAGTGAGCATACAGAGATTGCTTCCGAAACTGCCGAAACTTTTGTAGTAAATTTAAATTACATCCAATATTCAAGCTGAAATGTTTTTTTCCAGTTTCTGTAAGCATACTGGCCATATTTTGTCTTAAAATATTGCTGTCTTGAACTATGTGATTAATGCCTCACTGTATGTCAGTTTGAATACATTTCCGTGGTCCAGTTTCACTTGATATACTGCTTAAAAAACAAACAAGGAAAGAATGCTACTGCCCCTTAGAGTGGTGCATTGCATTATTTAAAATGTGGTTACAAGTCTCATGGAGGGTTTAATTTGTACGTATTGCTTTTTTATTTCGTATGAAAATGAATAAATTCCTTGCATTTTTTTAAAAAAGATACAGCTTTTGTATATTTCTTGAATATTGATTAAGAGAGCTGTGGTAAGAATCACAAAATACCACTTCTTTCTGTCCAGAGAAGTTTCTGTTGAATGAAAGAATTGTGTTTCCTGGAAACCACCTTTGGCGCCAACCGTGGGTTTGAAGATACCGGTGCCGTCTCAGAACCATTCCTGGAATTAAAACAAACAGCCCATCCCCTGCAGGCTTACAATCCAAAACACACACACACACCACACCAGTGAATAGGGGTACAAAGGAAAGTGGGAAGATCAAAATCGGACACCAATTTGTAAACGGGCTTTTTTTTTTTTTTTTAATGACCAGCTTGCATAGTTCAGGGGCAGGAGGTGTCTGGTGAGGCTTGTTTTTTGGCAAAGCTAATGCAATGAGCTCTGCTTTCTAACTCTCCCACCAAAAGAATCCAACGGAACTGCTGTTCCCATGGGACAACTGAGGGGGAGGAGGTATCTAATGCAGCTGCCTTTCAAGTTACTCAAAATCTTATCGCATGGATGGTATTTGTTGCCAGCTGAGTACTTATAACACAGGAAGGTAGTTTCAGCTGCACGATAGCATCTGTTGCTTAGACTCTGTGTGTCCTTCCCAGTAAACAGCAAATCCGGTGCATAATTAAAAATTGAAGCCTAGTGGGAAAGGGACAGTACCATGCTAAGATTGATGTTCCTGTTTCAATGTCAGCCTTCCTGATGAAGGGTAGCATCCTTTCCTTTTTTCTCTCTCTCTGTCTCTCTCTCTCACACACACACTACTGAAACCTCACCATTTTCTGCCTTTCTTCAAAGACTTCTTTGGTGGAGCATACTACTATTCCCTTCCATCATTTCAACCCAAAATTTGGTGCACAACAGCACCATCTGTGTCTTTCCCACATTTTGGAAAAGGTATAAAGCTAGGGTGGGGAGCTTGGGACACTTCAGAAGCTCTTGGACTCCAGCTCACATCAGTACATGGCTAATAGTCATGGGTGTTGGAAGCTGCAGAAAGCACCTAAGGGAATCTGAAATCTTCAGTCTGCTTTTGGGGGGGGGTAGACTTTATACTATATTGCTTATAGTATATTAAAAGTACAGGGACCCCTGACCATTAGGTCCAGTCGTGACCGACTCTGGAGTTGCGGCACTCATCTCGCTTTATTGGCCGAGGGAGCCGGCATACAGCTTCCGGGTCATGTGGCCAGCATGACTAAGCCGCTTCTGGCAAACCAGAGCAGCGCACGGAAACACCGTTTACCTCCCCACTGGAGCGGTACCTATTTATCTACTTGCACTTTGACATGCTTTCGAACTGCTAAGTTGGCAGGAGCAGGGACCGAGCAATGGGAGCTCACCCCGTCGTGGGGATTCGAAACGCTCACCTTCTGATTGGCAAGTTCTAGGCTCTGTGGATTAACCCACAGCGCCACCTGCGTCCCTTATAGTATATTGCTTTATACTAAAAGTCTCATTGTGATTTGCAATATATACAATGCAATAAAACATGATGAAAACATACCAAAAAAATATACAATAGCACTGTGGTAACACGGGTGGCGCTGTGGGTTAAACCACAGAGCCTAGGGTTTGCCGATCAGAAGGTTGGTGGTTTGAATCCCCGCAATGGGGTGAGCTCCCATTGCTCGGTCCCAGCTCTTGTTAACCTAGCAGTTCGAAAGCACGTCAAAGTACAAGTAGATAAATAAGTACCGCTCCAGCGGGAAGGTAAACGGTGTTTCCGTGCGCTGCTCTGGTTTGCCAGAAGCAGTTTAGTCACATAGCCCAGAAGCAGTATGCCGGCTTCCTCAGCCAGTAAAGCGAGATGAGCGCCACAACCCCAGAGTCATCAGCGACTGGACCTAATGGTCAGGGGTCCCTTTACCTAACAATTGTTGAAACATACACACTAAAAGACTGGATTGAATAACTAACAGCAATGTCATTAAAGCTGCCCGTGTACTGTAACTGGTGTTACCTGGCACCAGAATGATAGTAAATTAGATGCCAGGTTTGCTGCCTGGGGAAAGCAATCAAAAAACTGGCAGCAAGGTGGGTGGGAGGTACTGTTATTTCTGAATCTGGAGTTTGCATTGCACCAGGTAACTGGATATATTTAGAACACAGTAACTAAACGAAATTAAACCATGACTATGTGCAATGTACCACTTGATCTTTTGGTGGTTTTATAAAGACAACTAGGTGGGGTAGTTTAAACATGTGGCCACAAAAATGTAGGTAGCATGATACAGCTTCCTTCACTACACACCACTGCTTCCTTCAGTTCCCCTGGGAATGTCCCCGTGTCAAGGGACAAATTGATAATTTCAACCAGGGGGGTCCGCGCAACATCTGGACACTCCCTAATCAGCCAAGACGGGCACGGATCAAGGAGGCAGGTGTGGGCCTACCAACTTGGAGGAATCTATCCACATCAGCAGGGAGTATCCGATCGAAATGGTCCAACACTGGACCTGAAGTCAGTCAAGGGGCCTCCAGTTCAGTCACTGTATCTAAATTGGCTGGGAGGTCACGGTGGAGCAACAGGACTTTCTCCGCAATAAAGCTCGCAAATGCCTCACAGCTGTGGGTCGAATTTGTGCTTAAATTTGGTTGTCCTCCTAAGGATGTTATTGACCTAATTATTTTAAAAAGTTGTGCCGGGCGAGAGCTAGTGGATGCAATGGAAGCTGCAAAGTAAGATTTCTTAGCAGCTTTCATAGCCATCTCATAGGCTTTCATAAGCGTCCTATAAGATGTTCTTGAGGCTCCGTCATGAGTCGGTCGCCATACTCGCTCTAGCCGTCTGAGATCCCGCTTCATTTTCCGGAGCTCCTCAGTAAACCAAGGGGCCCAGTTTCAACGGGGTCGCAGAGGGCGCTTAGGTGCGATCTCATCAATGGCTGCCAAGAACCGGTTATTCCAGTCCTCAACAAGGTCATTTAATGAGTCGTCAGGAGGAGCAGGGTCCCAAGATGCCATACAACCTTGAAGTATTCTCTTCATTACTGTGAGTTATAAGTTGGCGGGGTGTGTGTGTGTGTGTGTTTGTTTGTTTGTCTTCTGCCTACTAACTGTAGTTCTTAAGATGGCTTTTGCAATGTATTTAAACCACAATAAAAAAGACAGTTATGCACTGTCACTACAGCAAGGCAAAGCTGTAGACAAATTTTATATAGTCAATTTTGTTTGGTATTCCTATTTTGCAACAGAATTAGTTAAATAAAATGCAATAAGAATGTATCCCTATCAGTGAGAGGGTTCAAAGGCAACATTTCTGCTATTCATCCCGTCATTGTACTCATTGCCTTCTGAACTCTGCAGAAGTTGGGTGCTCTTTAAATATTTACGTGGGCTTAGACTTTTTTTAAAAAGAGAGAGGAAAAAAACTTGCTGTCAATTTTTTTGCCCTTTTACACAAATTAGTCTTTTTTCCTATTAGCATAATTAAATTGCTAACATTAATACAGAAATGAAATGCTAAGCCTTTTATTTTCATTTTGGAACTCTTTGGCAGGCTAATGGCTTCCATTGTGGAGTCATTCTCAGCCTCTTTCTATTAATGAGCATTTATCTACAATTTAGAGATGCCAAGCACCTGTGGATGTCAGGCATAGATTATGAAATGCAGAACTATATATACCCTCTGCTTAAAATATACCAGAATTTTGTGTAAAGAAGGTTTCAAGGAACCTTCAGAGTCTACACAATGAAATCCATTCCTAACCACCATTTATAAACACAGGAAATACGATCGTGCAAAAAGTATTGCATCCTCATCCACTTTCAGGCACCTGATAAAACACTTAGTAAAAATACTTATGAGACAGAATGATCCCAACACCCGCTGAAATATAACTGTGTTTATCTCCTTTTCATCCTTCCCTCTTTTTAATGGGGAGTGAGTGGAATTGCACAGGTGTGATGAGCTTCTCTACTCCAGCCCTGCAAAGACACTCATACCAGCCAATCTTGCTTCAGGTAAAGAAGGGGCTCGATCATTCAGCAAAATATGGCTTGCATAATCTCAAGTGGTGTGGAGGAGAGCAATTGCTTGGAGGATCGTTTGAAATAAGCAAAAGGCAGTTCTAGAACAAACTAATAACAAACGGCCAGCTTGTGACTCCAACTCCTATCAAGCCCAGCCAGTATGGCCAGTAGTGAAGGGCAATGGGAACTGCAGAAGCAGCTGGAGGGCCATAGCTTAGCTACCCTTCAACTAAACGCTCCTTAATCCTTCTCCATTATAAATACAGCAAATTCTCCAGCAATGGATTTCCTTTAAAAATACAGTGGTACCTCGCAAGACGAATGCCTCGCAAGACGGAAAACTCGCAAAACGAAAGGGTTTTTGTTTTTTTGAGTTGCTTCACAAGACGATTTTCCCTATGGGCTTGCTTCGCAAGACGGAAACGTCTTGCAAGTTTGTTTCCTTTTTCTTAAAACCGTTAATACAGTTGCGACTTGACTTCGAGGAGCAACTCATAGCACACGGTGTGGTAGCCTTTTTTGAGGTTTTTGAAGACTTTGGTGATTTTTGAAGCTTTCCCAAAACTTTTCCGACACCGTGCTTCACAAGACGAAAGAAACCGCAAGACGAAAAAACTTGCGGAACGAATTAATTTCATCTTGCGAGGCACCACTGTAACAAGTAATCATTGAATCCCTGGCCATCTCTTTTTTCAAGACAGAGCCTCTCTCCTCTCTTTGAGACTGGTGAAAAAATAGATTCCCTATGGCAGAGATGAGGCAGCTGTGGCCTTCATGATTAAGGAGGGAAGAATCTGCTCATTCCACGTTCTAATTTTCCCAGTCCTAAATTGAACTTTCCCTATTTCTGTATCAGGCTGTGTGCACACTATATATTGGAAGCACACACTCCCTAAGAATCTTGGAAACTAGTCTGCAAAGGGTGCTGGCAATTGTGAGATAACCAGGTTACCCTGACATTGACAGTAAGGGGGTCATGTGAATTGACACAGATATAAATGTTGTTAGAAGGGGTAAAAAGAAAGAGAAAGATCAAAAGTTTGCAAAGGGTTCGAGTAATCTTTCAGATAAACTTGCTAGGTATTGAAGGAGCAAAGAGAGGGGATTTAATTGGAAGATCTTCCCACGTGTATTTTGACTTATTCAGTGGAAATGTCATTTTATGGAGTTTTAAATATTGTCAGCATGCAACAGCATCCACACCCTGAGAGCAACTTCAATTGGCTGGCTAAACCAGGTGCGGATTGCTGATGGGGCTCAAATCCTTGGTGAGTTAGGGACTTCCCTGCATGCAAAGATAAGCTCCAGCAGATTGAGCAGACGAGACCAATAGTGGGTCCAACTGTTAAGAAGGAGGTTTCTGCAGGTGCTGTAGAGGGAAGTGAGGGGCAAATGGGGCTCATCAACCTGGGCAGGTAGCCCATCCAGGAGAAGGAAAGCTCTGATCCTAAACCTCTATTGCCATACTCATTCATGAGAAATCATTTGGGAGTAAACCCTGAGGAACAATCTGTACTCGCTACCTAGTGGGACATCTTCAGGAGAAGAAAAGACAAAGGAGTAAACCCAAATCTGGAGTGGAGTCCCTAAGATGATTGGATAGCACCTTCTATGCTGCCTCCTGGCAACTCCTGCAGTCAAGCTGGTGCCAAACGTATTGCTCTGCTTTCCTTTGGACCACATCAGCGAGGCCCAAGGAGAGTGTTGTTGTCTGGACAGCCCAGGACCACAGGTCCAAGCCTATAGGCACCTGTTTCCCTCCCTCAGGCCATGGCCCAATTTGCAGATCACAGGTGTAAAATGGGGGTGACAGTCCAATGCACACCTCCAGATCACAAACATAATTGTCAAGGCTGGAAATGTGTCAGATTGCTGGGAGTGCTTCCAGGGGCTCCTGACAGTTACAGATAGATACCCTTTGACTGGCGTACATTCATTTTTTTCCTATATGGAATTCCACAGGATTGTTTTCTACATCTAATGAGGTGGATACCTGAAGATAATATACATCTAAGTGAATTTTAACTGATAACAACAACAACAGCAATTTATTATTTGTACCCCGCCCATCTGGCTGAGTTTCCCCAGCCACTCTGGGTGGCTTCCAACAAAGACAAAAAATACACTAAAATGCCACACATTAAAAACTTCCCTGAACAGGGCTGCCTTCAGATGTCTTCTGAATGTCAGGTAGTTGTTTATCTCTTTGACATCTGATGGGAGGGCGTTCCACAGGGTGGGCGCCACTACCGATAAGGCCCTCTGCCTGGTTCCCTGTAGCTTTGCTTCTCGCAATGAGGGAACCGCCAGAAGGCCCTTGGCGCTGGACCTCAGCGTCCGGGCATAACGATGGGGGTGGAGACGCTCCTTTGGGTATACTGGGCTGAGGCCGTTTAGGGCTTTAAAGGTCAACACCAATGCTTTGAATTGTGCTCGGAAACGTACTGGGAGCCAATGTAGGTCTTTCAAGACCAGTGTTATGTGGTCTCGGCGGCTGCCCCCAGTCACCAGTCTAGCTGCCGTATTCTGGATTAGTTGTAGTTTCCGGGTCACCTTCAAAGGTAGCCCCATGTAGAGCGCATTGCAATAGTCCA